TTTTTTTTTTTTTTTTTTTTTATATTTATTATTATATTAAGACCCAATTTTAATCATTTTACCCACTTACCCTTCTCCTCATCATATCCAAAATGGCACATATTTAGCATAAAACATTTGAAATCTTACATTAATAGGAGAGGGAAACGAAACATTCTTAATAAGTATATAAAATTTTTTTCCTAATAAACGCGTTTTAAAATCGTGAAACAATATTTGCTAGGGGTAGATATGAAGCTATTACAAATGGTATCATAGTCATACACCCAATGGTATGCAAATGAGGACGTTGGGTCTTCAAGAGTTGTGAAATCCCACATCGGTTGGAGAAGACAACAAGCGAGGACACTGGGTTTCCAAGGAGGGTGGATTATGAGATCCCACGTGGTTGAAGAGAGATCCACATTCCTTATAAAGGTAAAACCTGAAAGGAATCACGAAAAAGAAAATCTAAAATAATATTTAGTAGTAGTGAGCTGAGATGATCTCATTGAAAATCACGCTAAAAATTACCCTTAAAGAACTAGGGTTTTGTGAAAATAATTGACATCTAGAAACGGTTAATATTGAAAGTACATTGCGGTAATAATTTAAAGTAGGGGTAAGATGTTACATTGGTATTCCCAAAAAGTATGTAAAAAATCTACATTTTCTAAAAAGTATTTTCCCCAATTAAATTATTTTTAAAAATGATTTCTTTTGCTTTTGTTGGTTTCAATACAAAACATTACCTTTTGACTTTTGTGTACTAAACCTTACTTCATTAATTATCCACTTTAATCATAACACATTCAAATTAAATAAAAATTATTAATCTCCTAATTAACTCCTCCTCCTCCCTAAATTCTCGCACTCTTTTTTGAATTTTATTTTTAATAAAATTGATTTTAATCGTGATGTTCTTGCCACATAATCATGTTACCTACGTGTTTTAACTACGTTTAATTTTACAATTTTCTATGATTGAGCTGCAGAAAGGATGATGCGAGATCTTAATTTGAATCCTAGCCATGAAACATTATATGATGGTATATTTTACATTATATCTCTTAGCGGTGGGCTTGAGCTGTTATAAATGGTATTAGAGGCAAACACGGATGGTGTGCCAATGAGGACAGTAAGCCCAAGAGGGACGTGGACATTGAAATAGATTGTGAGATCCCACATTGATTGGAGAGAGAGAAACGAGTGTCAACGAGGATGTTGGACCCTGAAAGGGAGTGGATTGTGAGATCCCATATTGAATGAAGGGGAAACGAAACCTTTTTTAAAAGGGTGTGGAAACCTCTTCTTAGCAGACACGTTTTAAAACATAAAAAAGACAATATCTACTTGCGAGGAACTATAGAACCTCTAAACCCCACCAACTTAAAAGGATTACAGCTCAGAAGGTAGGTTAGAAAGATAGTTGAGGTGGCATTTTAAAGTAATGAAGAAACAAAGAAGATAAGAAAAGCAAGCAACCTTAATGTTGTCTCTTGCTTTTTGACAAACTGAAATAAAGGTTGATGTCCACAATTTTCTAAGAACCTAAAGTTTCACTACTACACAATTGGTTTGACCCCATATATATATATATATATATAAATCTATCGATGTGGGATCTCACAATCTACTACTTTAAGGCCTAGGTTGACACTCGTTTTCTTCTCCAATCGATGTGAGATCTCACAATACTCGTAAATTACCCACCCATCAAAAGATAATCGAGAACGAAATTACTCAAACATTAGTTCGTTCTTATTATTTCTTTGCGATCAATTGTCAGATCCCACATTAATTGGAGAGGAGAATAAAGGATTCTTTAAAGCTGTTGAAACTTCTTCCTAATAGACACGTTTTAAAATTGTGAGACTAACAACGATACGTAGCGGATCAAAACAGATAATATCAACTAGTGGTGAACTTAGACGAAAATGGGTCGGGTGATTTAAGGGTAATGTGGAAGAGATCCCTTTCCCTTGTGCTTGAAGCAATTATGTGCCCTCCAAAAAGGACATCTCCTAAGATTTTATTAATGTTTTTCATCAATTTTGGTCAAAATAAATTCTACATGAATTTGGGCTTCAGCTGATCCAAAGTTTGTTTGGGCTTTGCTTAATTAAGCAGACTCGACTCTAGGCCCAACTTATAGTGCATACATACATACATACATACATACATACATACATGCATACATACATACATACATACATACATACATACATACATACATACATACATACATGTACGTAAGAGTAAACAAGAGTAAAGGAGAAATACATGAAAGATCACATCTGAATGAGAGTGATTCTGACTAAAAGGCTTAAAAAGAATTAAAGTTACTATATATACCAACAACGTGTTGGCTTTTTTGCCCTTGATCTCACTTAAATTAATTTCAATTAATTAATTGATTGATGTTTTAATGATAACAAACCTACTTTTAATTATTAATTATTTTCAGTATTTTGAATTGTCCATAGTATAAGGTCAGGAATAACGATTTTAACGACTTTTCAATTACTCAAATCAGAGCTAAAACGAAAAAATTACAGTCGAGATAATATACCCGATGTGATGATGTGGCAGCAAAATCAAAATGATAGACAAATAAAAATATATTAAAATATGACATTTATAATGTTGGAAGAGTAACAAATGGTGAAGATTTGAATCTAACCATTATTCACATCGATTTTTATTATTATTATATTATTATATTTATAATAAATTTTGAATTTTCATTTGACCGTTAATCACATGATTTTTTATTATTATTATATTTAAAAAAATTAAAAAAATGAATTTAGAAAATTTTCTTATTTATTTAGTTTTAATCTCCACCTTCCGTTATTCCTAACACAATCCAATGGTCAATATTAATTCCTACGTTTTGCCACTTTTCTCCTCGATATAAACTCATCTTTCCCACATTTTAAGACAACTTCCATGCATTCTCCAATTCTCATTTGTTCAAAGTCTCCATGGTTTGTTGCTCCCTCCAACCTTCCAATTTTATTATTATTCATCTTATTCTTGAGAGAGATTTTTTTTTATTGTATCGTGCGAAGATGGTTGTGAGTGCTCCAAATTGTAAATCTACTCTTTGAAAGAGTTGTGGTGTGTTACTATCAAATTGAAATACTCGTACCAGTTTGATCATGCGTCGTGGAAAGGATTGAGTTTGCTCTTGAACTCGTAAAAAGAGCGGTGTAACGGTTTGGCTTTGATTTGTGGAAAGAGTCGAGAAAGTTTTTTATTCAAATTCCCAAGAGGCGCTTGGGGAATGAAGTAGGTCGAGTTTGACCGAACCACTATAAAACTACGGTGTTATTTACTCTAACTCTTTCCTATTTAATTTCAAAATTATTTATTGCATGTCTACTTTATTATTGTTTTGACTTGAATTATTTTGTTCTGGTAATTATCATCTTTTACTTATTTGTAAAAAAAAAAGTTTTAATCAGGTTTAAACACTTTTATCGTTAAAACCTTATTCACCCTCCTCTAAGTTGCCATACCGATTCAACAGAAGGTACACATTTCTTTTTGGTAGCTCAATTATAGGAACTTCATGGTTACGTGTGTTTTACTTAGAGTAATTCTACGGTGGATGATCTCTTAGTAATTTTTTTGAGATACATATGATTGAGAACAAAACATGTTAGAAGAACTTATATTAGTCTATAAGAATAGTCTTCACTTTTAAAAAGTAAGAAGTAGGTAATGTGACCATGTCGCAGGTGATGCAAGAGAATGTCGGGGCACACAAATGTCTAATCTGGATTACGAATCCTAGGCATGGGTCGTTCCAACTAATTTTTTTTTTTTTTTGTTTTCCTTTCTTTTTCTTTTCTTTTCTTTTATTTATTTACATAATTTTTGTTTGTATATATGGTTTCTTTTTCTATATTTGTTTTTTTTTTTTATAAAATATTATTTTTACCTTTCAATCCTATTCAAATCGTTTATAAAATAGGTTGATAGAAGAATTAGAAGAAATAATAATAAATTAAAATTAATATATTTTATGTTATAAGGAATGAAATAAATTAAATATATTTAATTTTTAAAATATAACATTATATAATTAATTCTCCAATTTTATTTTTTCATTTATTAAAGATAATTATTAAAATTTAAGGTATGTTATTTGTGAATGAAAATTAAATTGGTCAAATTTATTTTAATTTTACTTAATAAAAATCAAATCGAGTGGATCTCGAGGTAGAGTAAACCTATAAGGTCAAACTCTGTTCAAGGAGGCGAAGATTTAATGTGGTGTTGTGTCAAACGTTGTTCGGTACTTAAATTAGTATTTATACGAAAGGGTTAACGAGTTTAGCAAGACAAAAACAAAAATTGTTTTACTATTTATAAGATTCATTATCACAACACCAAACATTAAAGGCACACAACTCAACTCGACTCGACTAGGATGATACTTTTAACACATTCTCTATATACGAATAAAATTTATAATTTAACCCAACTGTATTGTAACAGTCTAAACTCACTACTAGTAGATATTGTTTGTTTTCGCCTTCTATGTATCGTCATCAATCTCACGATTTTAGAACGTGTCTGATAGGGAGAGGTTTTTATACCTTTGTGATCCCGGTGATCCTGGTGGGATCTTACCGGTAGAGTGTATACATCAAATTTGGGACATATGGGTCAATTTTGTTGAAGTTGGTTGGGTTAAATTGGGCAGGCCCAATTAATGATTGGTTCAAAGCCCACCGTCATCTTTGACTAAAAAACAACGGTCGTAAGGTCATTTTCGGAAGAAAAGAAAGAAAATGCTCTATGTTTGTAGAGGTAAAAGCAAAGAGGGGGACAATGTCGCCGACAAACACACGCCACGCCGTTAAGAGGGACCAATTCCACCATCCTCCGATCAAATGAAAAAAGCGAGACATGGGCCCCACTCCCCGATTAATTGGTTCGGATCGGCTGACGGTGGTGGCCATTTTTGAAAGCTTGCCCTTTTTGGTCTCCTCTTTTTTTTTTTTAATTATTATTATTTTTATTTAGAGAATTTAATTATGAAAAATGTTTTTTCATTTCGTTATTTTATTTTATTTTATTTTGTAATTTAGCAAATTCAACCTCTTCGTTTGCCTTTTAAAAGCTGCGTTTTTCAACCTTTCCCTTTATTCATATTTATCCCAAACAAAACAAAATAATTAATATTGTTTTATTTTAAGTCCATTTTCTATTTTTCATCCATTATAATTTTTTAATTTTTAAAACATTAATTTTAATTTCTAAAAATACATTATTTGACTGCCCATCAATTAAGAACGAGATAGAAAAATAATTTTTTAATAGATATTTTCTGTTTTGATCGTATTATTGTCTGTCTTACGATTTTAAAATGCATCTGCTAAAGAGAGATTTTCACACTCTTATAAGAAATATTTCCTTCTCTTCTCCAACTCATGTGAGATCTCACAATCCACTCTCCTCGACACACTGCTCGATACTTGGTTTTGATACTATTTGTAATAACATAAACTCACCGCTAGCAAATATTGTCCGTTTTGGCCCATTACGTATCACTATCAACTTCACAGTTCTAAAACGTATTTGGTAGGGAGAGGTTTCCACAAGTTTATAAAAAATGTTTCGTTCTCCTCTCTAACCGATATGAATCGAGGACTAAAATAAAAATTTTAAAAATTCAACATAAATACATGTGTATCATCGAACGTGTTTAAGGATTGTATTTAGCACATTTTAAGAATAATAATAAAAAAATAGATATTAGAATGTTTAATGGAACATGCCAATATGTATAATTGGTCCGCAAAAAAGTCAACAATACCAATTCCGTTGACCTACTCAAATATTTGGTAGTCAATATTATAGATCTCGAATCACATCATTTTAAATTAATTAAATAATATCTTAATTAATTAATAAAAATATTTATATGACTCGAGAATCTGACTAATCTAGACGATCCAACTCTATGACTTATAAATATTTGATATTTGGGACTTATGAGATTTTAGTTATTAATATAATATATATGGTAGATGAGTAAGATTTGTTAAAATAATTAAAAACAACCCGACAACCTAACCCATCAGAACTCGAAAATAGAGGGTTGAATTGAGTTGTGAACTCTTTTCGAGTTGCTCAAGTCGCCAACCCAACCAACCGAAATTTTGGATTGATAACAGTCCAAGCTTACTGTTAGTAGATATTGTTCATTTTTGCCCATTACCTGTCGTCGTCAGTCTCATGATTTTAAAACTCATCTATTAGGGAGAGGTTTCCATATGCCTTATGTTTCGTTCTTCTATCCATCCGATGTGGGATTTCACAATCCACCACCTTAAGAGCCCACCATCCTCATTGGTACACTACTCGGTGTCTGTCTTTGATACATTTGTAACAACCCAAGCCCAGCGCTAACAAATATTGTTCTCTTTAGCCCGTTACATATGGTCATCAGTCTCACGATTTTAAAACACGTCTATTAAAGAGAGATTTTCACACCTTTATATGGGATGTTTCGTATATAATTTTGACTAACCGAACTCAAAAACCTATAATTTAATGCATATTATTATAGTATACTTATCCGGGAAAGAAAATTAGATTAAAATTTAAGGCATATTATTATTTTATCAATAAATTATTATAATGTTATAAGATTTATAAGTATATTTCATTAGCACAATTTTTAAAATATAAGTTGGATTAAAGATTTACTCGTAAAAAGTTTATGTAATTTTATTAGAATGATTTATTTGAAGATAATTATTTATATTTATTACAAAAAAATAAACTCAAAATACATCAAAGTTAAATTAAATTAGTTAAAATTATTTTAATAAGGTAAAATAGTTAACCATAGTTAATTATCAAGGTTAAAATATGTTTTGTTTATTTATTTTTATGTTAAACTTTAATTATAAAATAATTTTTTTTTTTTTTTTGTTAAATTAATAGAAATATCTTTTATCTAAAAATTATGGGAAAGGTTTATAGAGATAAACCGTTATATGTTGTGAGATCCTAATATTGGTTGGAGAGAGAACAAACATACCTTCTAAAGATATGAAAACCTCCTCCTAAGAGATGCAACTGTGAGGCTGAAAGCAATACGTAACGAGTCAAAGCGGACAATATTTGGTAGCGGTGGGGTTCGGTTATTGGTTGAATTATGGAGCGGTCAAAAGAAATATAACCGGAAATTGTTATTATTATTTGAAAGAAAAAGATGGCACCATTTGAAGTAAGACCAAAAGCACAACACCTCATCGTGTAGCATTGAAAACGTGTATTTTAATTTGAGAGAAAAACCCACGTTTTGGTTCAAAGAAAAAGTTGACAAATCTTTGAAAACCTCACCTATAAAAACCCTTCCTTTCTAATTTCATTTACCACAATTCAAATCTTCCCTCTCTAAACTCCTCCTTCTCTCTCCTCTCCATAATAATCCCCATGCCTTGCCTTTACATCTCCACCAACGTCGATCTCGCCGGAGCCGACTCCGCCGCCATCTTCGCTGCCACAACCTCCGCCGTCTCCTCCATTATCGGCAAACCCGAGAATGTAAACCATACTTTGTCTTCCATTACAGTCGACGCCTCTATTATATTTATCTTTTATTATTATAGACAAATATTCTTAATTTATTTTGTTTTTTTGGACAGTATGTTATGGTGTTGTTGAAAGGGTCGGTGGCGATATCGTTCGGGGGGAACAAGGAACCGGCGGCATTTGCGGAGGTGGTGTCGATGGGAGGAATAAACTCAGAAGTAAAGAGGCGGCTGATCGCCACCATTGGAAGCATTTTGAAGGAGAAGCTGTCAGTTCCGCCTGCGAGATTCGTTCTTAAAGTCCACGACACGACGGCGGGTCGCCCCGTTTCAAAATTATGAAGCTGTTCCAAGTTTGACCTTTTCTTGTTTGACAGTTAAAACTGTGGGAGTTATACAGTTGAAATTCGTTACGGAAGCTATGATAATGAGAGGTTTAATAATTGTTTCATATCCACTTTTACATAATTGGTCGTTTAAGGAAATAATATAACATTATATCCATGATTTTAATCCGTTTATGACTCGGAATAAAAATTTAAATAAGACAATATTTTTTAGCAGTAGATTTGAATAACACGATTTTTAATTACAATTTTTTTTTCTAATTTAAAAGGTAAACTCTAAATTAATAAAAATATATATTTAGTTACCATTAATTTTGATAAAAATCATTAAAAAATATATTAATTAATATCCTTCCACATTTTTTAAAAAATATACATGAAAATTTTAAAGTATCATAAATTATAATTTTAATGCAAATAAGTATTTTTTTGATAATTTTTTTTTCACTAATTTAAATAAATTAAATTCTTCCCAATATATAAATTTCGTACTCTCCCTAACCAAAAATAATTTAACCAAATCCTAAATTATAACATAATTTAACATTTAAAATATATATAACACTAAAATACACTTTATTATCTATTTAATTGATAAAATCATTGGAAGCTAATAATTAAAAATAAAATTTATAAATGAAAGTATTAATGTTAATGAATTCGGTAACAATCTCTTTCAAATAGGGTGATTATAATATAAGATAAAAAGAAATTAATGGGTTATTAATGGATAAATTTAATTAAGAGGGTATGTCCCCATTACATTATTATATCAATGGTGATATTTGGTATTGTCAATTTGATGATTATTAGTATTATAGTTCACGTTTTAGTGATTAAATATGTTTAGTGGAGTTGGTAAAAGCCATGTTTAAAGCGACTATAAGGCGCTCTTCATATCTGATATTTTCACCGTGTTTCGGTCTAAAACACGAAAAAGAAAAGCTTTTTATCACATGTCGAGCGTGATTATTCTTCAACTCGCTCGAGTTTCTCTTTGAAATGAATGAAGTTCCTTAGTACAAATTGACCAACCACGAAATAGTAAGCTGATCGATTCAAAAAAGCTTTTCATTTATTTTTGCGGGGTCGAATTTTCCACGGATAATCTTTCCTACTCATTATTATTTTTTATTTTCATTTTTATAAAAAAAAAATATATATTTTATAATCTTTCCTACTCATAATTTCTAAAAATTTAAATTTTAATATAATAATATAATTTTTAATAATTAAAAAAATATAATATTAATGTGAATATTTCAATTATTAAACATTAATGTCGAGTCATTCTCCTTAGGCACTAAGTGATAGCTCAAGGAGCTCACTTCTTGGAGCACTTCTTCAAAGTGAGCAACCCATTCTCTTGGGCTCTCCCCCACTAAACTTCAGCAACCCGTTCTATGGACTTTCGTTGTTGTGAGATCTCACATCAATTGGAGAGAGATGCAAAATATTCCTTATAATGACATGAAAACCTTTCTTTAACATACACGTTTTAAAGTTGTGCGGTTGACGGTAATATACAACGGCCAAAGCGGATAATATCTATTTGTGGAAGGCTTGAGCTGTTACAAATAGTATCAGAGCCAATTACCAGACGGTACAAGACACTGGTTGGAGTAGGGCTAGACCCTCTCTATAGTAATGCGTTTTAAAATTGTGAGGTTGATGATCATACATAATGGGTCAAAGCAAACAATATATATGAATGGGCTTGGACTGTTACAGTTGTGCACATTTGGCACATGGTCGGTGCATGTCTCATCTAAACCCAACTTCTTTGCTTTGAAGGCACTGATCTAATACACCTTCTAATTCACTATCGACCTATTTGAACATCCAACCCCTCGACAAATGAACTTGGTTCGTGCTTCACTAATAGATAAGACTCCGTGTGCATCATTCACAGAATTATTTTTAAAAATAATTTGAAACTATTTAACATAAATAAATAAATAAATTTAAAGCTTTTTTTTTTCCAGATGTCAATAAAAATAGAAAAAAAAAAATATGAGAGGGCGTGAGAGGTCTTGGCCAGGATTGGGCCACTGGCTCGAATATAGGCAGAAGAGAAAAGAAAACCCGAAACCGAATTTTCCAGCAACTTTCATCGGCGCCTCCGTTCCCCCATTTTCCGGCCATCCCTCCCTTTTAACTCCATACTTTCCGGCCATTTATATCGCACTTCCAAACTCCCTGATTCCTTCGTCCCTTCCTTCCCACCACAATGCCGTCCTCTTCTCCGGCCATCCTCCCCGTTTCCAATTCCGAATCACAACCTCAAATCCCTCTTTCCTCATTCGCCAGCCACCTTTTCCTCTCCCTCCGTCACGCCTTCTCCCGCCGCCGCCCTTGGCCGGAGCTCCTAGATCGCTCCGCCTTCTCCAAGCCAGAGTCCCTCTCCGAAGCCACACTCCGCATCCGCAAGAACTACACCTATTTCCGCGTTAATTATTTCGCGATTATAGCCCTAATTCTTGCGTTTTCATTTTTCTCAAATCCTTCGTCTCTGTTCCTCTTGATCGCGCTTCTTTCCTCTTGGATCTTCCTCTACCTCTTCCGCCCTTCCGATCAGCCGCTTGTTCTGTTCGGCCGGTTATTCAGAGACAGCGAGATCTTGATTGGCCTTGTTGTTTTCACCGCCTGTATTATCTTCCTCACCAGCGTCGGATCCGTTCTTGTTTCGTCCCTCACCGCCGGTGCCGCTGTCGTCTGCGCTCACGGCGCTCTCCGATCTCCCGATGATCTGTTCCTTGATGAACAGGAAGTGAACTCCACTGGATTTCTCGGTTTATTCGCCGGCGCCCCCTCTGCTGCCGCTGCCACCGCTCCTTCCGGCGCGTAAATGATGTGATTATTGAAACCATATGTGCTTCTGTATGTTGATTTGTTCATTCTATTATTTGTTTGATTGAACATTTTTGTTGTTCAATTGAAATAGTAGGGGATCTTGTTTCTTTCTGAAGAATGTTACCATTCAAATTTGGGTGGGGAATTGTTTCAATTTTTATAGCCGGAGAGTTTTGTTCATGTTAAAAATTTGTATCAACTGATGTTTCATCCATCAATTCTATATTTTTTTTTTTTTGCTAGATGTGTTTTTAATACCACAAATATAGGTTTTGTTTTAATCTTATTTTAGCATTAATTTTAAGTATCGGGCTTTTCTCATAACCAGCCTCAGTTTTAAAGTATTTGTTCTTTTCTATAATCGATGTGGGATCTCCCAATTCAATCTAGTCTTCTAATTTGATACTATTTATAACAACCCAAGTCTACCAATAACAAATATTGTCCACTTTGGCCCGATACTTAACCGGTCAAAACTGACAATATTTGCTAGGTGTGCACTTAGGCTCTTACACATTCTTACTCTCATATTCTCATGGCTCATAACTTAGGCTTAGGTTAGTAATAATTAACTTTGAATGAGAGAATTATGAACTCGAACTTTTTGGCTTATAGCTACTGCCTAATCAGTGGTCCGTTCTTAATTGACTAAAATAACAACTCAAGTGAACGATATTCCTCACTCTTATTTCTATACTAAAGTTTAACAAAGCATAACGGTAGTTTTAATTTTGAAATTTTTTATTTTAACTATGCAATTTATTTATTTTTAATTAAAATTAAAGATAAATTGACGTGAGAACTAATTATAAAAATTAAAATCACACCATAATTTACAACTCAATTCACTATATATATGATTAAAGTTATTTTTAATATTTATTTTAATTATAAAATAGATTTTTTTTTCTTGAAAAAAAAACATAATTAACATATATTATTCTTTTTTCTTGAAGTAAGATATTTGAATTTTCGTATTTATTTGTTATACTAAAAAACAATATTGTTTAATTTAATCTTAATAATCGACAAAAAAAAAAACCAATTTAAATTGAATTATTCATATTAAAGGCGAGTTGAAATTTTACATAATTTAAATGTTTTGTTAAGAAAGGTTTAAAAAGAATAAAATAAAAAAATAAAAAATAAAAACTTGACTTTAAATTATTTAAAAATATGATGGATTTCGTAATTTAGAGGCCAAGTACGTACAATTTCGATATTGGACGACAAGTCGACTTAGTGAAAACCACATGTCGTTTGATAGAAACCATCAAAGCACCTTAAAAGCCGGATCCCTTCCCTTGAAGAAACGAAGATAAATGTGAATCGGCGACTATGGAAGACGAATCGTTGCAGAAGGTTGCGATTTCAGGGCCAATCTTAGCCTCTTTGATCCAACGCTGCTCCTCCTCCTCCTCCGGCGCCGTTGATGGTCTTCTCTTCGGCCATGTCTCCGAAACTACGCCCTTATCCCTCTCCGATGATTCATCTTCTTCATCCAACATCGAACCATCGGTACGTGTCGCCACTGTCACCGGATTTCTCTGCTCTGGTACCACCAATAGCTTTTACGATTCTTCTGGACAAGTAGATTCACAATTGCTTAACCGCCTTCTCGGCCGAAACCTGTCCGACGGCCAAGCTCAACCTAACGATTCTTTGGTCGGTTGGTTTTCCGGCCGCCGGAGAACTCAGCTTCGACCTTCCATGCGTGAATACTTAGTGAGTTCCTCTCTGTCTTCGATGAAGCAATTGTCGTTTCCTGTCAAAGACTCTGTGAAACCTACCAATCTAATCCCTAGTTTGTTTCTGCTTCTGACTTCGCCGATATCTGATCAAATTATCCACACACACGAGTACCGTGCTTTTCAATTTCGGTCCTCCAATCAGTTCTTTGAGCCGAAATCAATTGACATTGTGAACATCGGACCGGCATTTCGTGGCCACTATGGATCGTTTACCCCTAATTCTCCTTTCCCTCATTTTCCTTGCGAGATGAGAGCCTCTCCGATGAATGTAGATAAGATTGATGGGAATTTGAATGTGATGAAGCAAAACTTGAAAGATCAGAAGCAACTGAATATGTGTGCTGAAGGATTCGAGATTGGGAACTTGACCCGGTTACTGGGTTCTGAGGCTGCAAATTATACTGCTGGGCTGGAGGATTTATACGAAAAAATGCTTGCCAAGACTGAGAGCTTGGCACGGCTCGTTGAGAAGAGCTCTGCTCAGGTTCTTGATCAGGTATTCAATCGCTTCTATATGAATGAACCCTTGAGGGCTAACAGCTAAGATACCAATTAGGCAATGCTCGTTAGGTGGTTTGTTTTTTATGGTTTAATGACTAGTAAATTGTCTATTGTTTGTCAATGCTTAATGCTCCTGTTGATTGTTCAATTTCTTCTAGGGTTTACGTATATATTTCGCAACTTTTTGCAGGAAAATCACAACAGAAAGTTGAGATATAAACTTGCGAGGTACCCTGGATTTGAGTAAGAAATTTGTTCTTACTACTGGCGTTTTTGTTCATGTAAGCTAATTTCGTCCTCTCCCATCATCCTACTTTCATTTGTTTATCTAATCATTTCACTATCGCATTGGATGCATGACATTTGCTCTGCTTGTAACCTGTGTGATAGAATTTGTATTTGATAATATACTTGTAATGAGGCGAAGATGGTACCAATCATTTTTTATGCAGTTAATGTTTACCATTTTATTCTATCATTCGGTTGGGTAATGCAAAGGGATTTTGAGTTAAAGTTTTTTAGTTTAATTAAGCTTTGAGGTGAGTGTTCTTCCCCAAAAGAAAGTTCTAATCTTACCCAAAAAGAAAAAAAATCAAGGCGATCGTTGGAGCTCTGCCGAATAGTATGCAATCTTGATTCGTGATGTTTCTTAAGTTTGGCTTCATTCTGAAATGATCCTTCTAGTGTTCTCCTGAACTTTTTTAGGGTGCAGACTCTTAACCTGTCTGTATGCATAAACATTTCTAGATAGAAATGTTTGTAGTTGATTTGGATATAATCCGGATTTCTAGTAAAATAACAAGGATATATTCCGTGGCAAGAGTTGAAATCTTAGTTTTCTGTGTCATGATTAACGACTACACGAAGAATCTATTGCCTTTTTCTCTTTACTTAATGAACTGTAAGTTTTTAATGAAGGAGAACGGAGGAGGCTTTCTTGAAGTTCGGACTGAATGTAATATTGAGCTTTCCCCTTTGCTTCAATATTGAGATAGCAAGTTGGTGCAAAATGCGGTGTTCACAGTTACTAGGTTCATTTTTTAAGTGTAGCCACCACTTTCCACCCTTTCACTTGTAGCACAAGAACTTACCCCCATTTTTCAGCATGAAACTGATGGCAAAAGAAAGAAGTGGGGGAGTTCATCCCATATTTTCTCACTTCCGACCAACTCTCAACGTTCTCCTGTACTGCCATGCTTCGCAATCATTAAGGACTGATCAATTCTATGTCTTGAACATGCAGGTTTGAGTTCGATTTGGTATCACTGATTTATTGTTCTGACCAGTCGACTTTGCATTCCTAGTTTTTATTTCCTTGTTTCCAATGCCAATTCTTTCATGTTTAATTAAGCACCCAGGTAAATGTAAAGTCATCCAAACAACCCATTGTTTGTATCCATGATGTGGGGTAGAGTCATAAGGAACCAAATAAAACTGTCCATTTAAGGTGAAATTAGAGAACACATGATCTGCAACAACATTCTATTCTTTATCTAATTCCCATTTCTTTGTTTTCATCTAAATTCTGGAAGCAGGAACTGCAAGAACATCGACCTTGTAACGAAATTACTTACTTTTGGCATCAAAACCTGAATGCTGCATGCCGTTGACATTAAAATGGCGACTTTCTGAGCTGAAGGGAGCTACCAAGCAGACCTTTGAAGTCCTAGGAATGATCTCAAGTTTAGGCAGTAGTTTGTTTGGGGAATATCAAGCTATAATGAGTTGCCCCCACAACCTTTGCTGTGTGTATGAGGTACAACCTTCTACAATTTCATTCCCTGCCTTTTGTCACTTGAAGATTCACTCTGTTTGATATGTTTTCATATATTCCATACGAAATGTTCTGTTCTTGATTGGATTCTTATCATTATGTGGCTACTTGTGTTTTTAAAGATCCCGTTCAGGAAAAAGCTTTTATGTACTTACTTTCCAGCTCTAAGGTGCTGTTTGGGTGTACTTTTTGGTGTCTTTTCTTTCTTTGATTGAGAATGAATTCTTATTTGTTCACATGTTCTTGCGCGTTGTTCTCTAGTGTTCATTGTACTTGAAGGTTCCTCTCAAATCACGATAAGATAAGAACCAATATATGGATAAAATGGCAAGTGATGAAATTTATTTGGAGGATACTGATTATTTGGAAGAAAAAGCTTCCTTTTTTGCTCATTTTTAACAACTTGAGCTCCCTTCCCAAAAAGGATAACTTCATTGGTGAAATTATCTGGCAGGTATTGCAACCAAAAAAAAAAAAAATATATATAGTTTAATCGAGTTAGAACACTTGTTTGTTGTAATATATGACTCTACACACGTGATAGATGAATTTGAAGGACAAGCACAATCAATAGTAAGATAACGTCACAAGTCATTCAATATATCATATAGAAATAATATAATAAAGATGTCACTAGAGTAACTTCTGCAAGGGCGATTCGGAAGGATTGACTTTGTTGAGCTTGATCGATCGATCGTACGATCGAATGTTGGTAACATTTTAGAAAGTGGAGAATATTAATTGATTTGGCAAAAAGAATGTTGGTAACATTTTAGAAAGTGGAGAATGTGTCCTCTTATAAATAATCTGGAATAGGGAAAGAATTATCCATTTATCCATTTAAATGGGAATAGGATAATAGATGAGGATTTCAATTTAATATTAATTTTGGAGTTAAATTAAATTATATAAGTTTAATAGTGATTTTTTAAATGTATGCCTATTGATTAATAAATTTATAAAATGGTTTAATGAATCTCTAAATTTCTTAAATTTAATTATTGTCTAATAGATAGATAGTTAAAAGTGTCAATTTTTTTTTATTTTTTTATTTTTTTATTTTTTAAAGATATTTATATTAGTTTAGTTTAGTTTTTATAATTAATGCAATTATTTAAACAATTAAAAGTAGAAGCGGGGAGGTGAGAAAAAGGAATAAGAAAAGCACTTTGCTGCTGCTGACAAAGACGCGGTGAGATCGAGTAGGGATAATTACGTAAATTGAGCCACACACACCATCCGTGCGGATGGGCCCCACACGCAGACAGATATTTATTTATTATTTATTTATTATTATTATCATTTATTTTCTCTTAAAAAAGAAAAAAGACAGAGATATATTACTTGGGGAACAAGTAGCTTTTGCCTTTAATCCTATTCATATTTATCCTCACACCTCCATTTTCTTTTCTTTTCTTCTCAATTTTTTTTTATTACCAAAAAACACATAAAATTACAAATTTAATCTCTAATTTTTTTATTTTATATTCTTTTAAAATTAAAAATAAGGTTGATAAAGTTAATTAAATATAATAAAATTACCAAATATGAAATTTCGGTTAAAAAAAACTTCGTGGCTAAGAAAGCAAAGAGTTGCTTGAATTCCTTACCATTCCTCCAAACTCATCCATCACGTCATCAAAATTTTGGATATTTCCAGAGCTTCATAATGGCTTTTTCATTTCATACAGGTTTATTATAAAACCCCTCCTCCTTCCCTTTCCTTCTCCTTTGCTTCTCTTCTCTCCTGAAACTCTCAAAATTTTACTTGTAAGATCAGAAAGCTACGAACAAGAACAAGAGGCCACCGAAGTGTTGCAATCAGTGAGGAGTTTGAAGCGCATGACGTCTGAGAATTCTAATGGGTAAGTTGAGTTTTCTGTTTAAATTTGATGTATTGTTCTTCATGGCCAATTTTTTCTGGGTTTTGATCGTTTGAGAGATGGCTGAAGAGGGCTGTTTTTTGATTGCAGAGAAAAGACATCAAGAAAGAGGCGAAATGGGTTTGTTTCTGTAGTGGACACTTTGAACAAGTGGAAGAAATTGAATAATCAATTGGAGTTTTTGGCAAAAGATGGAGTAGAGGAAGTTCGTCGAGTTCCAGCCAAGGGCTCCAAGAAGGGTTGCATGAGAGGGAAAGGAGGTCCGCAGAATTCAGACTGTAATTTCAGAGGTGTTAGGCAGAGGACTTGGGGTAAGTGGGTGGCTGAGATTAGAGAGCCTATTGCTAGCGATACCCGTGTGAAGAAGAAAGGCAGTCGTTTATGGCTTGGTACCTTTGCCACTGCTCACCAGGCTGCTGTTGCTTATGATGAAGCTGCCAAAGCCATGTATGGCCCTTTTGCTCGTCTCAATTTTCCCGACTCTTCTTCTTTGAAACCAATAACAGCAGAGCATTCGGACACGGTATCCCCTGTTGCTTCTTCATGTTCTTCCTCTTCCTTCTTAAATGGAGTATCTGCAGAGAAACTGAACTGTGAGTATGAATCAATGGAGGAACCGAAAGTGAAAGTGGAAGAAACAGCAAGAAATGGAGTCAATTATACAGATGCTAATCCCAATTCTTTATATGATTCTAACATTGGGAACAGATCAACAGAAGGAGATATCAAGGATGGATTAGCTGATGTTGTAAGAAGCCATGATATTAATAAATACAGCCATGATCAGAATGATCCTTCTGAGCTTTGTTTCAAATTTGAAGCAATGGATACAAATGGCTACAATGACATCAACGATTGCAATCAATATTTGCTACAGAAGCTTCAGAGTGATGCATATGCAAGAAGAACTTACTGGATTCCAGCGGAATGGGAGGTCGGCGGTCTCGGGCCGACGAAGAAGGTGATGGAAGGAAAGGGAACGGAGATGGAGAGCTATGTAGACTGTATGGACTTCAACCGTGATCTGAGTTTGTTGCTGGATCGGCAAAAACACATGGGAGTTGGAGATCAGAAAGTTGAGGATTGTAACTTCGAGTTCTTGAGACCTGATTATGATTTTGGGTTGGAGGAGGAAAGGAAATGGCTTGATTCATGCTTCCATGAATGAAGATTGATAGATTATAGGCAGGGTAGATTCTTGGTTTTGTTGGGCTACAATTGTATTCTATTTTTTGAGCGTACATAGTAGTTTCATTTCTTCTCCTATTTGCAGACGCCTGTTCTTGTGTGCACCTTTAATAAAATGAGATTTAGAATGATGTATAAATGTTCATATCTTCTTGATTACAACTTTGGTCCTTCAAATACAATATTCAAAATTGCTAAGAAATTACCCCTCCATTTTAATTTTGATGGTGATTGAGATCGGTGAATATTGAAGCGGACTGTCTGACATGCTCTGGAACTGTTGGCTGTTGTTGCATTGAAGGGGGGCCAGCTCTGGTTAATAGATAGAAAGCTGTGATGTCAGTAACAGGCAGCAGATTAAGAGGAGCTTTAAAAAAGCTAGGGAACATATCCAAATCCTCGTGGTATTCAACACTTTAAATGGGATGAGGAGCTTTACGAAGTTCAAGAAGCTTGAAGCTTTTAAGTTTCAGTCACTTTTTTCGTCGAGCTCATTGAAAACCATCTCCCATGGCCCACTCTTCGTGCCCAATCTGGGGTAGGTGAAATAGAGACAAATCGGATAAGTTAGCCACTAGGGAAATATAAAATGTTCCGTACTATCAGAACTCGGCCTAAAAGTTGTGTTATTTCTTAGTAATATCGAATGTTTACTTGTTAGGTAGGCCTAATTCTGTTTTCTAGTCAAATTAATGTGATTTTTCTATGTATTATTACCTCCAGATTCCGGCTATTAAACGCAACATCATGAACAGAAACAATCCACTCCAAACCCCAGGTAGACCGAATGCGGGAGTGACCACAAGCAGGTAGAGAGAAGAAATCAGTCCAACAAGCACCTGCTCTTGTTTCAGGCCAAATTAATATGTATCTTCAAAAAAAGAAGGAAAAGAAAAGAAAAGAAAAGGGAAGCTCAGATCACTAGGAATATACCATGGAGTAGGCTGCATATCCGAAGTCTGAAACTCCGTAGTAGAGCCCATCTACAACAAAAGCTAGAGCACTCACTGGTTGTGATCCAGCAACAAACTGCAAAAACATGGCTAGGATATCAGGACAACCGATCACAATAGCCTTGTAGTGGGTGTACGTGGCATCATGAGAGATAACTGGATCTTCCTAGAAATGTAAAGAACAGGCCGCTAGAAAATTTCACTCCCCCAATTTCAGGATGGATACCAAATTCTCTCCAGCTCTACAGCAATAGAATGTTGTAGGTACCAAACAAGTGCAAATTGCATCAACAATGAATTCATGGCAGGCTTCTAGATGGCCCGAACAAATATGTTACATGTAGAAATTTGATCCAAAATATGACAAATTTAAAGGTCAAGCACAGTAGGTCATCCAAACATCTCCATTGTAAATACTGTTAAGCAGTCACAGGAAAGGTAAAAAGTCAAAAGTCAATTATTCAGATAACGTATTCTTACCCATAACCCAGATCGTGCAATTTCCAGGACTTCTGCATCGGCACTGAATAAACCAGAAAATGCGCCAAATCCCAGGAACAAGATAATAGCCAAAGAAATTCCTGAGATCAAACCAATCTGTACATAGAGGTACCCAGAATCAGTTTTGATTTCTTCCCACCAGAAAAAAACCATGAGACTGAGAGAACAAAAGATTCATCACTTCTATTTTGAGAAGAAAGACCAAAAATAACTGCCAAGAGACAGCATGTTGACGTTTGAGTTACTATTGACCTGTAAAGTTCTATAAATCACTTGACGCGAATGTTCGTAGTCTTGTAGGGTGTAGCTACTTGCTAATAATGCCTGCAAAAGAAGTACAGTAATTATTTACCAGGACCAACAAAACAATGAATTTTCTTTCGGCAATATGTAACCTAAGAGAAAATCTAGCAATGTAAATTAAAAATCTTGTCAACGTCAGACAAGATTTTACATAGAATAAATAGGCATAAAACATTCTTTTCTTGTGGGAATATTTACAAGAATCATTCAACAACAAATATCTGCCTCTAATGATCAATTCATCACCATGGGAGCATAACAAATAATTCACCGACCCAAGACAAAAACAAATCTATCTACATTACGTAAATAAGTAACCTAGAAGTTTCACAACAAAAAAAATTTCAGATGGATAGTTCAGTCCTCTGGGATTAGTTAGTGCATGTACAACAGCTTGAACGCTGATAGTTAAGAAAAATGAAAATTATTACGTATTTACTGTCTAGCTCTTTAATAATTCTAAAATCAAGTTTCCAAAACAAGAAGAGACCAATGGCAGAATGCAAAACCAAGAAAATATCTCTGCAGAAGATCATGGGTGGAGCTTTGTAATCAATGAGGTAGACCTTGATGTAACTGAATGCTTCATAAATAGTTACACAACCAAGAAAAAAGCTAAAGGTTTTGCTGAATATAAGTTATGATACCCTAATTATTGAGGTAATCTCTGTACCTGACCAGCAAGTGCTAAAGCATCAGTAAGCAAAGATATGGCCAACCATATTTGTACACAAATTTGATAACCGGCCATGGGTACAGTGCCCTCTCTAGCCGCCATGGATGTGGCTAGAGTCAGGGTTACAAGGACGGCTAATGTCCGGCCCATTAAGAGGCCACCTGAGACATACAACAGTCAGAATCATAACTAAATGGGAAATTTAAGTAGAAAAAAAAAATCCTCAGAAGGGTTTTCGCAGAATTAGGAGGCATGAATTATTTGTAACTCTAGAAACTAAGAAATTTTGGAATTACACATTCCTCTCACACTTATTCGGGAACAAGGGAAGAGGAACGAGTAACTGAAACAAATTGATTAACAAAACTTCTTAATCAATCTGTCTGTCAGTGGAAGTAATACCAGATTTGAGATAGCGTGCAATTCTACCACCATCAATGCTTGAAAGAGTAAGAGATATTTCTCCGTTTAATCTCCACAGAAGAACGAATGCGATTAGATACCTGATAAAAAGGGCATCAGACCATCAGGAAAGAACAAGAACATCATTTCCTAATCTAATCTTAGGAACTCATCTCAAGCGCTTAAGCTAAATAAATAAGTTTACCACATTGTTGACGTACTCAGATATCACTGTCGCTATTGCAGCACCTCCAATGCCAAAACCACAAAAAAATATCAACAATGGATCCAGTACTGCATTGAGTAAATTGCCAGCAGCTGACACAACAAAACCAACTTTCATATTAATTAAAAGATCTTAATTAATTTTGAACAGTTTCCATATTCACATCACAGGAAGATAGTCGAGAACAATTATTGATATTACCAGTAGCATACAATGGCGTTTTTGTATCCTTAAATCCACGAAAGGTGCCTTGGGCAGCAAGAGCAATTACAATAGGGGGGGCACCAAATGCCCTCAGAGACAAAAATTGCTCCGCAGGTGCACGCATTGATGAACCCTACAAAATTTTAAGATAGATATGTTGTATGATAGAAATATGTCATGTAAAACCATAATCAAACAATGCAGAAGACGTAAACCAAAGACATTTCAAGACATGAATGAAACAACGAGGAGGGTTAGAAGCCAAGAATTATAAAATGAATTGGTAAAGCTTGACATACAACAGGTATACCCATGATATCCATAAGAGACCCTGAACCAAGAGACAGCATAACAGCTTCAGCAATTCCAATCCCAGCAGCAAGTGCCAAAGAAGTGGATACAGATGAAAGGAGCTTTTTCCCTTGATTCTCTTCTATGCCATCTGTATGGTAAAACCAAAAAAAGTTCACGACTTCATAGAAGACAATGTGGAGTTCTTAGTTTAAAAAATTACTGAAATTGCAAACTAGAATTACCAATATTTATTTGAACAGTGTTTTTCTCGTTTTTATGAATCAAGGCCTGCTCTTCAGCAACAAATGAAGTAGTGATATTGAGTAAAGGAACATTGAATAACTTCGACACCAAATTGAATACTGAAGCTGATACCCCAACTGCAGCCAGTTCAGTCGATCCTACAAAGAGAATGTATACGGCATGGTGCTGCAGTCATCAATATAACCTCCAATAAGATGAAATATTACTTCTAAAATTAATGTCAAGAACGAACCGTCCAAGCCCACCGTTTGCAAATATTGTCCGTTTTGACCTGTTATGTATCGCCGTTAGCCTCACAGTTTTAAAACGTGTCTACTAGGGATAGGTTTCCACCCCTATGAATGTTTCTTTCCCCTCTTTAACCGATGTGGAATCTCACAATCCACCCCCTTTGGAGGCCCAACGTTTTCACTGGCACACTGCTCGGTGTCTGGCTTTCCCTAGCAGACATCGAGCGGTGTGCTAAAGAAGACGTTGGGCCCTCAAGCGGGTGGATTGTGAGATCCCACATCGATTGGAGAGACGAACAAAACATTTCTGATAAGGGTGTAAAAACCTCTCCCTAACCAACACATTTTAAACCCTGGAATTGACGGTGATATGTAACAGCAAAGCGGACAATATTTACTAGCAGTAGACTTGGACTAACACCTGCCATCACAATCAGTACTCATCTAAAGTTCAATTACGAACTCTTGCCTCCAATACTCCAGAATCCAGATAAGTAAGTAATAAAGAAACGATTCCTTTTGCACAATTCAGATAAATATTACCGTAACTTAATGCATGAAGAAGTTTTGTACCTATATGACCAACAAAAGCCGTGTCAATCAATGATGCAATTGGATCAGCAGCCAAAGCCAGTGCAGCAGGCAATGCAATCGCCAATATGTCCAGCGCAAGTTTATCAAACTTAAAAACCGCATCTCTAGGGAAATTCAAGAAATCAAATTCCTAGGTAAGATTCTAGAATTGAAGATATATACCGTTGCTGTATTCAAAGATCTTTTTCTTTGCCTTTCATTTTTGGATGTGATCTAATTAAAGAAAATAACGCTAAAAAAGCTGATCTAAATTTCAAAGACGAACCAACTCGGCCTGCCGCTCTGTCCTTCAAGGATCAAAACTTACCTAAAACGATTTAGAAGTGGAACTGAGACGAACGTAGACAACAAAGAGTTGGACGACTTCTTGCCCGGTCCGTTTCGACGGAGCTGCTCGGACGAGGCTGTTGACTTCGGTTCTTCCGGCGGACTCTTCAAGGAAGAAGTAGTAAGATTCTTCTGGAACGACGCTTTCCGAAAATAACGAAAACGGACTTGACAATTGGCGTTTCTGCGCAGCAGTTGACACTTGGAAGATAAATTAGTGCCGGTATTGAAGCATGGAACATAGATAGAGAGACCGGTCGCCATCTCCGGTCACGGAGAAATGGAACAGTGGAAAGGCCGGCCGGTGGAGATTGAGAAACGGGAAGATGAAACCATATACATTTGTCCCAATTTGTAAGGACTAATTTAGACGGACAGAATTGCAGCACGCCATAGAAATATCTTGACGTGTAATTTAATTGACATTTTAGATTAAAATATACTTTAAATTTTATTTCAACTTTTCATCTATCAAAATTTGTTACCGAAATATAATTTTTATAAAAAAAAATTAATATAATTTCACAATTTATAAAATAAATTTGCTCTCTTAATTTTAAAATTTCAATAACATTCTTTAAAAAAAAATAAAAAATAAATAAAAAATGCCCTTAATATTTTGTTTACAAAATACTCTTTTAACCTTGAAAAGTGTTTCAAAAATACCTTCGAACTTTTTAAAAAAATTTAATAGCCTCAAACTTTTTTAAAACTTTAAAATACTTTTAAACTAAAAAAATATCATTAAAAAATTTGAAGATAATCGAGAATGTGTTGATTGTTAGAGGATAAAAGTTTCACCTCCTCTAGAATGATCATAGATTTATAATCAATAAATACTATCTTTATTCGAATGAGACAAAACAAAGTCATGAGAACTTATACTCAAGGTAATAATATCACATCATTGTGGGAGTCGTCTTCATCTAATATTAATAATACCTAATTTTTGTCTAATGAATATTTGGACATTAATAAATTTTTGTAACATTTAAAAGTATTTTTGAAATGTCATCAATTTTGTATTGAAAAAATTATTATATGTTCGTAATTCTTAAAAGATGTATTTTTCAAATTAACTCTTCACTTGAATTATTGAATTTGGTTTGCACAATGATAACGTTTTGAGAGAGATAGATCTTGCATGCATGAGAAGCTGACTCCGAGCTATATCATGTTACAAGCTTCCGATTAACAAAATATTAACATGTCTATGATTTGGATCAAGATTTAGAATCTGAATGGGTACTTTATGGCCCCGACATACCCTTGTTGCATGGTCATGCTGCTCTATTCCTCGTTTTTAAGAGTGAACATTATCTCCACATCTCAATACAAGTTCTTCCAGCACACGTACTTAGATGCATCGAGAATTCTCAAAAAGCTTCATAACATCTAATTTCTCTAACGAAAACCAGCTTAATTTAGAGTTTTTATAATTAAGCTACAAAAAAAAAAAAAAAAAAAAAATACATATTGTTGGTATAGTCGGGTATAGTCAATGACTTTCAATTTTTTAAAAGTTTTTCTTAATTATCCTATTTTCACGATCATATAGTCTTCATTCATCTATATATCTTTCATTTACTCCAGTATCATAAATTATGTATATGATTCAACTATTTGAACGATACTGTCAGATATCAAAATTATCCCAATAATATCATTTTCATTATTAATGTCGGAGTGTTTTGAAACATTAATCGACAAAGCGTATATATATATATATATATATATATTTGTTTTTATTTTAAAAAAAACCAAATTATAAAAATAATTGAATCTAATGAAATTAAAGAGCTTAAATATAATTAAAATAATATTCCAACCATCCAAAATAAAAAACGGTAATTGGTCTGAATGCAAATATAATCCGATAAATCTCAATATAATATATATAAAATAGATTACAATAAATTTAATTATATCAATACTTTTAACTTATAATTTTTTAAAATCGACATTAATTAAATAAAAATAATATTATAAATATTTTAAGCAGGAAATCAAATATATGTAAACCAAGGTTATTCCAATAAAAAAAAAAATTGATAATTCTTCCATCCAATAAATATATTTTGATTAAAATATTATACGTCTATCTTGAGAACAAATTAGAAAGGAGACGAGCAACTAAAGAACAGAACGAAGCTTACACATCCAAAGCAACAAATGATGATGATACGAAAGAACAATACGATGCGCATTTTCCCTTCCATGACCGGCAACAACTAAAAAAAAGCAAGAAGAAGCCGGGAAACTCAGGATGGATAGCGCCCGAAAAGAATACGACGATGTCGGGGGAGCTAATGCAACAATGTCGATTGATCGACACGGCGCTATCCCTCCTGAGCTTAACGGACTCTTCCGTGCAATAACAAAGAAAAAAAAGGGGATTTGAATTGAGTTTTTTTGTGTGTTTTTCTTATGATATATAGGGAGAAAGGCCACCAAACTGAAGTAAATGCTGTGTGGGGGAAGAAGAGAGCTAATGGCATCGTATTTATAGCCTCAACGTGCCAATTTATTTTATTTTTATTATTTTATATAAAATAATAATAATAATAATAATAATTAAAAAAATAAATAAAATAAAGGCTAAAGTGGTAAATTAGGGAGAATTACGGAACGGGGGGTGGTTTAGTGGAGTCCGTTAAAACGGGGAAGAAACGGGAAGGGTTACACTGAAACCGGAGGGGTGGCATTGGAAATTGCAAAAGTTCCTGACTTTCATTTTCCTCTTCCCGACTCTCAAAGTGGTCTACGCCGTAGGCGAAGGATCCAAGGCCCGCCTTCCCATGTTTCCCAAAATACCCCTCCCTCCGTAATTTCTCACCAACTCCAGGGGTACATATGTAATTTTGATCCTTCCTTTTTCCTTTTTCATTTAATATATATATATAAAAGGATATATTTAAATTATAATTTTAATTGCATAAAATAGGAATAAGGTACATGCACGGTCTGCTTGCGACGCGCATTTTCTGCCTATTCCATTCACTATTCAGAATTATCATAATAATATAAAAATAAATTATTTCAGAAATCTTTTAAAATAAATTCAAAATTTTTTATTGGTTGAATTAGTCACGAGTACGGTAGATATTTAATTTTATTAATTGAATAATATTTTGTTTTAATGAGTTATTAAAACAAAATATTTGAAATGGTTAGTTGTAAATTTATTATTATTATTAAATTGTTTACATTTAAAAGGAATATAATTTTAAAGAAATAGATTAAGATAATAAGGTAAAATATTCATTAAAAGGGGGCAAAATTGGTGCTGGGTGGAGTGATGAGGATGTCAGAAGTGGGGCCCAGTGGAGGAAAGGTACTCTGGAATTTACCGTACCGGATCCGGTATCCTTTATTTTATTTTAATTTTTTTAAAAAAAGGAATTGAATTTACACAAAAAAGATGATAAAAATATGAAATTCCCATAAAAAGGCAGCCGGTCTGCGTAGCCGTAAAGGGTTTATTTCCATGGAAATTGAACCGGACAAACCGGGAAGACTTTTTATTTCCTTTTTCTTTTCATTTTTGTGTATGGTCAAAGAAAGAGAGGGGGGATCTGGTGGTTTTTGTAGGTATCCGGTTAAGCGTATGAGTATAATCATGACCATTGGATTTTATGAGGGTGGGGCCCAGAAGGGTGTTGTTTTTGTCGGTATATGAGTAATGGGCCTGGACCTGGGCCTGGGGGGGAGGTCTTAATTCTGGGATTATGCGTGGGGTACGGCTACGGTGCAGCTACTCTATTGTGGACCCCACTGCACAACCTCATTATTTGCTTAATTACCTTCTGCCAACTCTGCGGGTCCCTCCTTTTTATTTCTCATAACAATTTAAAGCCGTCTAATTAATATCTTGGTTTTTTTAAAAAATTATTTTTACCCTCCTCAAAAGTTTTAATATTGCTTTCAAATATTGGTCTATTGGCACGCATGACTCTAATACCACAGTAGACGAACACGACTCTCCACAATTGTATGATATTGTTCACTTTGAACATAAAGTCTCATAACTTTGCTTTGGGCTTCTCAAAAGGTCACATATCAATGAAGAGTATATTCTTAGATTATAAATACATGACCATTCTCTAACTTAACTAATGTGGGACACTTTCATCTAACAATCTTAATACATACATAGAAAAAATTGTAACTAAACGAAAGGGCATTAATGTAATTTCATTAAAAAAAATTAGGGTTTTTTCCGACAACAAATACTTGTGCATTATTTCCACCCAAGCAAAAAGTTACATTTATTTATTACTTATTTCTCTTCTTTAATTAAATTATCTAATTTGGATTAAACTGGATTATCGCATCAATATTAATAATTATTCTCAAATAAATAATTTTAATAAAATTGTAAATAATTAGTAGGGTAATTAAATTAAAAAATTAATTATAAATATCATATTTCGAAATTTAATTATAATTTATTTATTAACCATTAAAATCATTTTATCAATAAAAAAATTAAAATAAAAAGAAATAGCTAAAAGAAAATGTAATCCTTTTCAAAATATGTATGAATGTGAGCGGAGGTTCAAACTTTTAACCTTTTAAGAGAGATCAGTAACGTAGAAAGCGAAAGTATTTGGTATCGAAGGAGACAACAGTAACGATATCTCAAGTCTTCTCTTTTTCCTGAGATCATCGAATGAAACCAATTACAATGATATAAGCAGTTCCAGTTGTATAAAAACAAGGCAGAAACTTTTCACAGAAAATGGAAGAGAAGTTCATTCCAGACATCAGGAACTCCTGGTAGGCACCAATGTATGCAATCTGAATAACTTGCAGGGTTTGACAGTTGCTGGGGGCTTAGCTCTTCCCAGAACTTCCGGTAGATGGATGGGTGGCCGTCTTTTCGATACTCCGAAAGCTGAGTGATGTTCAGAACTGTTACCTCTGAGCTCAGCTTCTCGACGACGTTCTCCACGATGCGCATTGTAGGCTGGTCTGACCCACTTCCCCAATAGCTTTCCAATTCGATTGGTGTTTTCTCGTCGTAGCAGTTCCCTTCGCTTCCCGATTCCCACTCTCGGCTCCTGAGATTCATGGAAGCAACTGGTTTTACGACCCCATTGTTCATGATGGGTGATAAAATTCTTGCAGACCAAAGCTTCTCCAAGTAACGAATGTAAGAAAAGAAGAATGCAATCCCCGGATTTACAATATGTTGATCAGAAAAGACTTTGGGAGTTAAACAGCCAAAGGAGGAGGCATGAGAACACAAATGGTACAGAAATGGGGATAAAACAGACGACAGGAAGAGGTTGTAGATGACTGCGGTGTGGAAACTTCTCCCTACCAGACGCGTTTAAAACTTTGAGAGAAAAAGTCCATAAGGGAAAGCCCAAAAAAGACAATATCGGTTTGCGGCGGGCTTGAGATGTGTCAGTGAAGACGCTGGCACCCAAGGGAGTGGATTGTGAGATCCCACATTGGTTAGATAGGAGAACGAAACATTCCTTATAAGGTGTAGAGACATTTCCCTATCAATTGGAGAAAAGAACAAAACATTCCTTATAAGGAGCTATAAACCTCTTCCTAGCGGACTCGACGAAACATTCCTTATAAGGAGCTAGAAACCGGGTGTAAAAACCTCTCACTATCGGTTGATGAGGAGAACGAAACATTCCTTATAAGGAACCAGGAGCTAGAAACCTCTCCCTAGGACAAAACATTCTTTATAAGAGTGTAGAAACCTCTCCCTGTTGGTTGGAGAGGTGAAACGTTCCTTATAAGAAGCTAGAAACCTCTCCCTAGCAAACTGGACGAAACATTCTTTATAAAGATGTAGAAACCTCTCTTTATCGTTGGGAGCTAGAAACCACCTCTATCGATTGGGAGCTAGAAACCTCTCCCTAGCAGACCGGACGAAACATTCCTTATAAGGAGCTAGAAACCGGGTGTAAAAACCTCTCCCTATCGGTTGGTGAGGAGAACGAAATATTCCTTAATAAGAATCTAGGAGCTAAGAGCTAGAAATTTCTCTCTAGTAGACTAGACGAAATATTCTTTATAAGGGTGTATAAACACCTCTCCCTATTGGTTGAAGAGCGGAACGAAACATTCCTTATAAGTAGCTAGAAACCAAGGGTAGAAACCTCTACCTGTCGGTTGGAGAGAAGAACAAAACATTCCTTATAAGGAGCTAGAAACCGGGTGTAGAAACCTCTCTATCGTTTGGAGAAGAGAACGAAACGTTTCTTATAAGAAGCTAGAAACCTCTCCCTAGCAGACTGGACGAAACATTTCTTATAAGGGCGTAGAAACCTCTCCCTAGCAAACTGGACAAAACATTCTTTGTAAGGTGTAGAAACCTCTCCCTATCGGTTGGAGAGGAGAGCAAAACTTTCCTTATAAGGAGCTAGAAACCTCTCTCTAACAAACGTGTTTTAAAACCTTGAGGGGAAGCCAAGAGGGGAAAACCCAAAGATGACAATATTACCGGCAGTGGGCCCGGGCTGTCACACCGCAAGTCTAATTGCAGGATGTATTGAACAGCATAATCTTGTAATAACCAAGTGTTACAGTTAATGGAAGTTCATTAGCAGGGTTCGAACAAATACCACAGATGCGTCGGAGACATGGTGACGAAAAAAACTCGTTTCTTCAAGGGAATGGCCCTCGAAGCCACCCAGTCCGCCCATGTCGTCATAACCAACTCCATAGCTTCCCGTCCATCTAATTCTTCACAAGCTCCATTTTCTTCAGCATTCCATCTACAAGCAGACATTTAAGCTCTTATCAACATAAGATAGATCAAAGCTAAAGGAAACTCTGAACCTTGAGCTGAAAATATAATCACTTATACTGACAATAGCTTAACTGGGCCTTGTCTCCACCACAAGTAAGTATTGAAAACTAATATATCAGCATGCTCCCATTCCGACGAATGCTTAAGAACGGAATCTGGACGAATTATTCGTTCATCCAATCGATGATTCACCGGGTCATCTGAATTTGATTCCACAAGAAGAGGCGCCCAGAGAAACTCTATGGTGGCATTATACTCCTGCAATTCATAAATCACACGACGTTTCATTCAGCAGTCGAACGAAAACGAAACGTTTCTCCTCGTGTTCTAATCTCGACTTCCATTCATTATGTTAAACACTAATCTAAACGAGTTTCTGATTACCTCAGCTCTAAAAATGGTAAGAGGAGCATTTGGCGACATGGATTTCTTATCAGCTGGAATCACAGATTGAAGCAAACAAACCATCGAAATCCATTGCCCTCGATTCAAAGAATCCCCGACGAACATCAACCTTTTCCCTCTCAACTTCTCCCACATTTCAGCAATATTCCATCTACAAATGAGTTAAAAGAGATCCATCAATTCAAGCTATCTTGGTACTTGAAGCAGAGGAGGATCTGTTTACAATATTTCATACATTTCAGGTAAAGTTTGCTTTCAAGCTCAAGATTTCTATATATACAATGAAACCATAACTTCACAGCCAAGCAGAATCCATCATATTTATCATAGAAATACAGAGAGAAGCCATAAAAGGAGGAAGAAGAAGCTTACCTCTTCAAATTGCAGCCATGGGGTTGCCATCTCCAGTACTGATATCTCAGATCAGTTCTGCCATGTTTGTGGCAAGCCAACTGGTCGGACATGTATGGACATTTTGACTCATTGTACAATGGATACGAAGTGTTATCGAAAACCCATTTGCCTGAAAACACATCACATCTCTCCGACCTCTCTCTCCGATTAGTTGAATCCGGCTTCCGGCCAGACCATGAGATTTTCCGGCCACTGTAATCTCTAGTTCCATTACACTTGCTGAATCTATCCAAAATTTCTAAAACCCACAAAAACAAATAGTTCATCGCATCGATTGAAGACAACTACAGCCGAATAGAACAAAGAAGAGGAAGATTAAACATACCAGAAGCTCCATTTCGAGTGATCAAAACATTAGGTTTCACAAACGTAATCGAAGCATCTCGACGACGAATTTCAGGATCTGGGGTTTCTTGGATCTTCCGAATGCTATGTTCATTGTGAAGGATTGTGAAAACCATGAAGCAAACGAACAGCAACGCCAGTAAATGCAAATGCGTTTTTCTCCGATTCCATCTCTGCATCACGAATTCGAAAAGCGGCAAAGAACGAAGGGTTTTGACTAAAACCCACTTCAAAAAAGTTCACTAAAAAAGGATCTAATCCAAATCTGAACTTATTCACAACTAGCTGGAAGATTTTTCATAACACGATCTTTCTAAACAGAGACAGCCGGATGAATCGAAAGGAAGGACCCCAGAATTGAAATCATCGACCCCACGGAAGTGTTCTTCCTGTTGATTAGGGGAATTCGGCGGTTTTCGAACAGTAAGGGCTTCTTTTCTTGGCAACCGTCGCGGCAAGATTAAGCAGAATTGATTAAAGAAATTGGCTAAAATAAATGGGCTCAATGTCGCGCGAAGAATTCGATCGTTGTCTTCAACGATACAACGACATCATATTATTCCAAGTTATTAAAATTCTTCTCAGTCAAATTGTTTTCAAAATCCATAATTCGTTCGTTCTTGATTTCGAAATAGAATTTCCCCAAATTTATGTGAGTTTATATAAAGCACGTGGCAAATAATCTCCTCTCCTATCTCAAAACGTTCTTCAATTAATTACTCTTTTAGATGTTAAATTCTATGCATTTATTACATTTTGACACGTGTAATTTCATGGCGGTTATTATGAAAAGGGTATAAATGTCATTTGTGGCCAATGGGCCGCTACAGGGCTTTAATATTGGGCTTTCTCCACCAAAGACAAGCGCTATAAATGAGTATATGGGCTTAGGCCCAATACCGCCTTCACTCTCACAATCCGATCTGGCAATCCGTTGACTAGGTCATTCGAATTTGACTCCACCGTCAGTGGGGACCACTTGCGTTGTATACCTTATTTTATAAATGACTTATGACCATGATTGCTATTATTATTTTAAATTATTTATATTAAATTCAAATATGTTAATATGCCCTTGATTAGACCCAATAATAATAATAATAATATTTTATATAAAATATTAATTTAATGAACACGTCACCTAGGGTTTAAATTTACATAAATTTAGCTCAATTTTCATAAATTAATTCATTTGAGAAAGTTTATGGTTTATAAATAATTTTTTATATTTTTTTTTAACAAATATGAATTAAATGAAAGAAAATAGAAATACTAAAAAAAATAGTTTATGGGTTAATTTTTTTTCTAAAGTAATATTTTATATTTATTTTTTTCAAATTTATTTAATCCATTGAATTCATCAAACACTTTGTCTAATTCATCTATTAAGCTTTTGACTTTTTAAAAAACAATTATTTAACTATAATTAATTAGAAAATTCCTTTGGGGTCAATTATTCAACTATAATTTGTAATTTTGAGATATATATATAAATTATGTATTTAATTTAACAAAAATAATTAATCTATATGATTAATTATTGAAAAGTAATTAATATACAAAAAAAAATTAAAAAGAAAACGCTAAATTGCATTTTCTTTGCATAAATTTTTATTTTGAAAGTTCGTATTAATTTTTAATCTCAATAATTTATATTATTAATAAATTATTTTAACTCTTTATTGTGGGTTAACATCCCTCTACTTAACTACTCTTATTATAATTTTTTTAAAAAAATTATAAAATTAGTTCTTAAATTCAAAATAATTTCAAAATAAATGCAAAGAAAAATTTGTTTAAAAAAATAATAATATTAAAAAAAATGGGAAAAGAGAAAAGGGATCAATAAAAGCTGCCCCTCCCAACTTGCACACCAACTTGCAGAAGTATGCAACTTGCAGCCAATAATAAATAAATAAATAAATAAAATAAGAAATATATTAATTTTGAGGTTTTTTAAAATATATTTTTATCACTCTAAAAAATATTATTTGGATTTATTAAAAGAATAAGCTCTCACCTTTTTAATTCTTACACATTTAACGTAATTTTGTTGCCATTAATTTAAATTTAATTAATTTTTAAATGGTTGAATTCAATTAATTTATAAAAAATAGATAGCTACACATATTTTAAAACCGAGATTGCTCGCAACATAATTTGGTCAAAAATGTCTTCAAGTTCGTAGGTTTAAGGGACAAAGACCTGTCCTCTTGCAAGATTCTTATGGTGTCATTTGATGGATAAATGTTCTCGTTCATATAAGATTATATCATATATTGTCCGTTTTAGTTCATTACGTATCACTGTCAGCTTCATAATTTTAAACATATTTTTATATCGACATCATTAAAGTTTTAGTGGGATGATTTTTACGAAAATATCTCGATCCCCTCCAATTTCTCGAACCCTACTGACCTAAAACTCCTCCCCACATCTTTTGTGGATGAACTCTCGAAGAAACTTGTTTTCCAAGCTACACTCCACGCTACCCCAAATATTCTCATTCTCTCCTCCCTATAAATTTTAGGAATATACCTTTTTGCCCGATTTGAATCATAAAATGGGTTGCATCATTTGCTATTTCGAAGGTTGATAATTGGAGATACGTACTAAACTATAATGCATATATTTAAAATTAGTGTCAAATAAAACAATCTCACAAATTCTAAAGGCTCACGGTGGCGCCGCTCGGCTCCGGCGGGACAAGTTCTCGGCGACCTGAGTCAGTGACTGAAGGTTGCAACGGACGATGGTGTCGACGAACACACACGTGTCCTCCTTGGTGTTTCCTGGCGGAATATCGACAACGTACGATTCCACCACGAGGGTGCCGTCGATGGCAGAGTGGAGGGATGTAACGGACCGGTAGTTAGCGAGCCGGTGTTCGCCTCCGACGACACTGAAGCTAATAATATGGCGTTCGTCGTCGAGAATCTCGAGTCGTTCGGTGCTATTGGCAGCTGGAAGGCCGGAAACGACGTGAACTTCACGGAGACTACCTACGTTGCCATCTCCGACGATGACGTCACAACTCTTGACGAAGTGTTTGTAGGCTTGTGGGTTGTCGAAGCGGCGGAGGACAGACCACACGGTGGAGACCGGAGCGTCGATCTCTACAACGATGGCGGAGCAGCACTGGTTCGAATCCGTAGCGTGGTTGTGGAAACGCGCTACCGCGTCGGGGACCGTGGTAGCGCGTGATGGAATCGGATGTTTGAAAACCCCCTGCACGGCGGCGGGGTGGGTTATGCGGTGGGAATGGGAGGAGGTTTTAGGGGGATTGAGAGGCATTTTCCGGCAGACGATGAGTGGGTTTTTTTTCCCCTCCGGTGGCGGATTTATTTAGAGACGAGATAGAAGGCGGCGGCGGCGGCGATGGCAGCGTTTCACTTTTTTGCAATTTGGATTTTCGGTGAAGAAAACCGGAAGGAGTTTATGCGAAGTTCATGTGAGGGCAGGAGGCCAACTTGGATGTACGAAATGACCAAAATACCCTTGCTTTCTTTGTTTGAATTTTCTTTGTCGTTTACGAGAATTATATTGTAATATAATTTTCAATCATGACCAACTTTATTTATTTATTTATATAACAATATATATATTAAATTATAAGTTTAGTCACTTTTTAAATTTAAATTTAAATAAATCTTCAGAAGAATTTAAGAACGTCACATTTATTTTAATATTTTTATATTTTTAAAATTTTGCGTCATATTTTTAATAAATATACCTTATAATTATTAGAAATAAAATAAAAAAACTAATGGCATATTTTACATTTTTAAATTAAAAATATCAAATATACACTAAAAGTATTATTCCAATTTTGTTTCGTTCTTAAAAGTTAAAAAGTATATTAAAAAAAATATTCCGAAGCTATTTATTATTTACTACAAATAGTTCTTTCCATAAATGTATATTGTTATATATGTGAATATATTTTGAGTTCGATCGAACATTTGACATTTTAAATTAATATAATTATTTCAACAAATTAGAAATAATAGTTTTATAAAATGAAAATTATGTCACATTGTTAATTATTTTTTAAATGGATAATATGACAATATAGAGGTGCCTAGAAAATAATATATAGTTGGAAATAAAATATTGTTTGTTTGGTTTTTTTTATTTATAGGATTATATAATTGTGATTATTATTTAAAAAATAACATAAGAAGAAAGATAAATCCAATTATGACGTCAATAAATATTTTTTACTAATAATAGTATGGATAAAAGAAAGGGCAAAATAGTAATTTATGGGTGCACTAAAGGCTTGACAACTGGTAATCAGACGGTCAATTAGACAATCAAGTTGCTGAATAAAGCGCAAGCCCAAGGATAAGATCAACAAATTTGTAATTATTATTTTCAATCTTATTTATAATGTCATAATTAAAATATTTATGGCGGAAGAAATTATAATAATCTAAAAAAAAAAAAAAGTTATATATTGAATTTTCTATTTTTCTAAAAAATTAAATTAAATTTAAATTAAATATTTTTTAACCTAATTTAATTTTTATGATTGTGTCACGTAGTCCAAATCGTTCGAATTATCGAATAATATGAACATCCCTAAGATATATAATAAAACAATTTGTAAGAAAATAAAATTTAGGTATAATGTCCACGTGTTTGAATTAAAAATTTTAATATTTTTAATTTAAGAAAATAAAATATAATATATATCTATATCTTACCATGAGTATATTTATAAACATTTTAACTTCACATTAATACCCTTCAATTTTTAGATTTTTTTTTTTTTTTTATGGATATAATTTTGAAAACGTATTAAAAGTTATTAATTCAAGCTTTTAAAGTTGAAGGGCATTTTTGAAACACTTTTAAAATTTTAAGATATTGAATGGGTTGATAATAATTTTGATGGGGTTTGATTCTTATTGTCCTTCAAATAGATATTAAATTTAAAATCATGTGGTCCAAATTTTCTAAAGACGAAAATTGAAAGAAAATATTTAAAAATATGAAAATTTCGAAACAATAAATAATAATTTTTGAAGTTAGGAACCTAGGTTGAATCTTTGGAAGTCACCAATGGGCAATGACCCTTTTTGTGGTGGAAAGGACAATGAGAAATTCTAGACGATATGACGATTTTAAACTTAGGACATTACACATTATTAAAAAAATTTAATTAAATTGCATTGATTTTAGATCTTCTATAAATTTATGCATATGGTTCAGTACGACGATTGGACTACATACAAAGCACGAGCACGAGGAGAAAATATATGAATTATTATTTTTTACTAATTTATTTAAAAAATTCAACCGTTAAATTATATTATTTTGGGCTCTTTACTTTCAAAACGTTCATTTTGGTCATTATGTTGATCTCATAGACTTTGTATTAAAAAAAATTATATCTAAAAAAGACTAATAAAAAATACTATTAAACTCTAAAAAGTTTTATTAATACTCTTTAATTTTTAAAAATTTTTAAAAATATCTTTAATATTATATTTAAAAAATATACATAAAAATTTAAAAGTAATATTAACACTCGTTACTTTTATAAAAAAATAAATTAAAAAAATTATTATGTTTTTTAATTTTACATTTAAAATTTTTAAAGAAGTTTTAAGGCTATTAATGAATTTTTGAAAATTTCCGTCTATTTTTAAAATTCTCACCAAAATTGAGTGATATTTTAAAAATAAAATGTTACTCAGAAATGAATGATAAATGTATTTTTGAATATTATTTTAATTGAAGGATTTTTTTAAATTTTTTTTAAAGCGTATTTTAAAATAAAATACAAAATTAAAATGTATTTTTATTGTTTTAGCGTTAAATAAACAAAACAACGTCATGATCCTAGCATATTCAACGATCGGGCTTGCCATTTTGAGGGCCCGATGGTGCATGGACGACACGTCGTAATTCATTCGAAACTGGTTTCTATAGCGTCCAGATCCAATTAAATTGGAAGATATGTAGTTGGTCAAAATAAAAAAAAATAAAAAAATAAAAATAGAAAAAGAAAAGTAAATTAGATAAAAACACTAAAATAATCAAAATCTGAGAGTTGCAATTAAATTTCAATTTTTAGAAAAGTCGCACGGAAGAACGCGTGGAGAGGGGGACGAGACAACTTCATCGCTCTCTCTCTCATCGCCATTTCTTCGAAATTGATCAATCTGGCCTGTAGCTTCTTCGTTTTGGATCGATTTCTGCTGGTTTTTTCGTTCAATTGAAGCTCGGTTCGACGGTCGGAATGGATCAGGTTATGAACAAAGTAGGCTCTTATTGGTTCAACCAGAAGGCCAACAAGGAGATCGGCTCCATCGGCGATGATATTAATGTATTTCTACTTATCTCTCCTTTTTCTTTTCCTTTATTAATTGCTGTATGATTTCGTATGCGCTTTCCTTTGTTGTTTTTATTCGTTCTTTCGTTTTTTTTATATCGTGATTGAGGCTCTTATGATGTCGGATACGTAGAATCGTCCAGCGTCTGATATTCATTTCTTTCCTTAATTAACACCTAGAGCCTTAATTTTACAATTATTTGTAGTGGCAATTTTGATTCTGGTTTGGATTCTCGAGGAGAATTTTGGTTCATTGACCTAGGGTTGAGAAATTGAATTCGATAAGTTTCACACTTTTTTCCGGAATTATCGTATGAATTAGTCTCGTTAGTCAGATTTCCATCTTAGCTGGCGGAGCGAGCGCTCCAATTTTCACAGTTCTGTTCGGAAATTTGTTACCATTTATTAGATGGATAATTGTGTCTTACAAGTGGTTATTTGGAAAACGTGCAAGTTATGATGGTGGTCTCGTTTTCAGATAGGAAGCAGCATAAGCCTTCCGCTTCTTTTGGACATAATATTATATGGCTTGCAATTCCTATGCTTGAATCTCCTGGGAAAACATAGTTTTGCAATGTGATTTCAAATTCCAAATGATAGTGTTCTTAGCCTTTTGTTGAAGAGGTATTCGGTTTAATGAGAACTTTTTGGTGTGTCGTTCTGCCACGATTCTAGAACGATTGAGTTCCATATCGTATTATGTACTGGTTGGTTATTTTAATATTATGGGCTCAATGCCAGTTCCTTCGTCCAAGAAAAGGAGTTTCCTCTAGCTTTATTTTTTTTAAAAATTTATTCAGGTTGAATTGTTTATTTTGTGCGCGTACTACAGCAATTTATACTTTGCTCCCTTCCTTTGCACCCAATACTTTTTGCTTCATTATTTATTAATTCTTAATAAGCTTTATGTATCTTCCTTCACTCTTGCTATTCTATTATCAGTCATTGTCGACGAGTATTCAAGGAGGAACTAGCTGGTTGGTAAATAAAATAAAAGGTTAGTTTTTCTTTTTTGATTTATAGGTTCTGTTTATATTGTTAGTAATATTATCCCACGATGATAATGTTAATTCTCTCTCTCTCTCTCTCTGTTTTTCTTTATAAGTATGTAATTCTCTGAATATTGGATGATTTTTCCTTCAAGATATATTGGGACCTAATATGATCTTTGGAGATTGCAATGTTTATTTTCTAAAGTTGTGTGTAAATTTACGAGCTATATAATTTTGTATGCGGTTGCTATAACGATGGTAGAATAGTTGTCATGGTCCTCACTTGCTCAGGACTATACATTATCAGTATGCTTAATGGAGCTATAAATTGAAAGTGTTTATTAGTAGGTTACTTTGATCTATCTTTTCTGGTCTTCCTAGGAAAAATGCAAACGCCTTTGCCAGACCTGCTGAAGGAATATGACTTGGCAATGGGAATTTTTCCTCGCGATGCAACCAACTATGAGTTCAACGAGGAGACAGGAAAGCTGACTGTCTTTATACCAGAAATCTGTGAAGTTGGGTATAAAGACTCATCAGTCTTGCGTTTTTCCACCACTGTGACTGGATATCTGGAGAAAGGAAAGCTAGCTGACATAGAGGGAATGAAAACGAAGGTGATAATATGGGTAAAAGTGTCTTGTATTACTTCTGACGGACCGAAGCTCAACTTCACTGCTGGATTGAAGAAAACCAGGAAAAGAGAGGCGTACGAGGTCCTTAGAGATGGTGTAAGTGTTGATAAGTTTTAAAATGTGGGAGTTTTCGGTTGGGTCTTTATATACATTTATGTTAGATGGATTCTTGTTCTTGAATGTGTTACTGTAAGGCCGAGAATTTTTCTCAACCGAATGTTACGATTACGTGCTGTTTTCGTCTGTCTAAAAGTAGTACACAGAACCCTTTCTAGTCGAATGATATATAAGACGACTTAACCGATCTGCCTTTTATGCCCAACTTAATTGTACCTCTCAAAATGAGAGTGGCATCGACATCGGACATAACAGTTTTTCCATGCATATAAAGAGCCTGAACGGTAAGCAAATATTTCTCATTTCTCTCAACCCTTAAACTCATATCTGTAAATTTATTTTATTGGATGGCATCACTGATATTGGAATACAATATTATTGTAAGTGGTGACCTCTTTGTTTACTCCTGTTGTGAAAGTCTTTCCAGTGAGTAAACAAATGGGCGCAGCTTCTTCTAATTGTTGCTATGGTGGAGCTGTTGAAAGAAGGTTTTTGAAGCCTCGTAGGTGGACCAGCAAATCGCAGCAGCGGGCGCATGGAAAAGCACCCGTGGAATCCATCCCTTCATCAGCCCATTGTAGCCGTCCTGCTTCACGACACGCCCAAGTACGTACCCAATTGAACTGCTTGAAAACCTGTCACACCCACATACTCCCTGTTTGTTCAATAAAATCACAGAATTTATAGTTAGAGCTTTCTGTAGTTTAGAAAGGAGATCATTGCTCTGATAAAGAGCGAATTAGTGGTTTATAAATGTCATTTGCTCTTGATTAAGTCTTGATATTCAAGATTTAAATGAAATGTTAGAACTAAGAAGCTTTGGCATAGTGAAAGAAAGAGAGTCCTCTCGAGTTGAACAAGGAAGAGTGATTTACCTGGCATTGCAGCCGAGTTTTCACAACGTCTAATGGCGTTGTAAGAGCAGCAGCAAGAGACCCAGCTGCTGCTCCGGCTGTAGCATGAACAATCAGCCTCTCGTCGTTGTCACTTCCCGGTGAGATCTCCTTCAATCCCCTTTTTGCCGCTTCATAAGTGGCAAAATGGACAGCCGTGTACGGTGCATTCATCAGCACCGTGGTCCGATAAGATGCATAGAGCGCCCCAATTCCTTCCTCAACCAAAATTCTCCTCACGCAGTCTCCCACTCCTTTATAAGGACTGCTCTTCAACTGCAGCCTCTGTTTCACCACATCCATCGGCGTTATCACAGCGTCGCTCGCCACCGTTGCACACACCCCAGAAATGGCGTGTGCTAATGAGTTGTTAAGATTTCCAACTGAAAACCCCTCTTTGCAGAATTCATATACTGAGAAGTAGACGGCATGTGCAGGTCCTGCACCGAGACCCATTGCCCCAATTCCACTGTACAGCCCGGCCGGACCTTCCATCTTTAGAATCAAGCCGAGTGCTTGTCGGACTGTTGAAGATCCGCCGATGGCTTGTATGCGTGTCTTGAGAGTGTCCACTGGAAACATGGTCATGTGTTCGACAGACCCTGCAATTGACCCGGCGATCATGAACTGCCAGAAGTAGAGGCCGTCGTGGGTCGGTGGCGAAACGGAAATTTCGGGGTGGAAATCGACCATGGTGTGAAAGTTGCAGAGATTGAAATTGAGGTTAAGAGATGTTGGAATCAGAGGCTGCAATTTAACAAAAGGATTCGAGAGTGGAATTCTATCTCAATGGAATGAGATTGTCGCCTTGCACCATAGCTTTTGAGAGGTGATATGCTTGTCTCTTCTTTCTGCATATTTTTTTTTTAATTACAGAGTATCATTTAGAGGAGCTATCATAGAATTTTCTTTTAACTCCTTTTTCGAGTTCCATAAAATATCTACTAAGATACGGATCTCATCCATGTCGATTCATCTTCTTTCATCCATTTTGTTTGCGAATAATTCTGGGGTTTATGTCAGAAAAAGATAATGAGACATGGTCTTAGGTTCGATCTTGGTGCTAAACTGAGTCTTAGTTGTAACAGCTCAAGCCCACCGCTAGTAGATATTGTCCTCGACTTCCCCTCAAAGGGTTTTGAAACACGTCTGCTAGGGAGAGATTTTCACACCTTGATAAAGAATATTTCGTCCGACTCTCTAATTAATGTGGGATCTTACAATCCACCCCCTCTGTACCCAGCGTCCTCGCTGGCGTTCGTTCCCCTCTCCAACTGATGTGGGATCTCACAATCCACCCCTTTTGTAACAGATGTTGTCCTCTTTGGGTTTTACTTTTCAAGCTTTCTCTCATAAAACACGTTTGCGAGTAAGAGATTTTCACACCCTTGTGAAGAATGTGTTGTTTCCCTTCCCAACCAAATGTAGAATCTCACATTAGTTTTATCCTTTATCTAGAAAGAATAAAAAGACTTTAGTCATTTTGATCATATTGGGTCCATTTTTGGAGATTCTTTCTGGTAACCCAGTATTAGATTTTTGTTTCACATGGACATGAACGGTAGGTTTTATCTTCATTATCTTGTTCTTTAATTCAGCGTTTTGCAACTTCAAGATCCAAAAGCTTACTTTTTCTGTCTGCTTCTGCAGCATCCACACCTTTCCCTGATATAACAACCAAGACTCAAATCACTAACACTAAAATTTAGACATTTTTTCTTTCCAGGAAAGTTCTTAAGTTCAGAAGATTCTCGAGAACCGATAGGACACGAAACTTCACAGCGAGTCGAGTCAAATTGAAGCAGCATCTTTTAGTAATTTGGATTCCTTACTTAACTGTTATGGAAGGTTCTCTCTTTCCCTCCCAATGACAGTTTTGATTTCTCTCCTCTTACAGACTATGGTTCTTTCTTTCACATTGATGAGAGTTATGACATGGAGGACCGGAAAGATCGAGGAAAAACAAGAGACTTTTTCTCGAAACATGGACCAATGCCCTAATTTCTAAAGAAAAATAGCTAGGACAGGAAGGATCAAGGGGCCATTCCCTTGTAAGCGACTTAGTAAAAGTAATTTTTATTATTTGGCGAAATGGATTCTGGAATTTATCGGAGAAGATTGAAATAGAAGTCAATTTGACGATATCATTAGTCTTGGATGAATCTTCTTGAAAGGAAAGGGGTCGATCCAGAGAGATTTGGTAATTCTAGATGTTCTTCATTCACAGGGGAATCAACTCTACCCCTCCATTTCGGTGCCCCGCCTGACCTCTATCTTTTTCTGAATATTCAGAGACGAGCTCTTTCTTCTTTCAAATTCCTGTCCAAATTCCCTTGTGATCATGAGCTGGGACTCTACGTCTTGAAAGATCATCTTGGTGGGGTTGGCTATCGACCAGCTAAGAGCAACTCCAATCTTCGATAATCTTGTTCTTTTTTTTCACACCAGTTGACTTTTAACGGCAAATGGGTTATTGAGGAATTTCTCTCATTGATACGACAAACTTTTTTCACTCTGATTTATGCAATTTTTTTTGTTGATTAATTAAAGTTTCTTCAAATGGGTTTTTCCAAAAGTCGTTCTTTATTGTCATATCTTATCTCCTTAGCGTTCTTATTCATCATATTCTTATTTGCATAAGGTGAATTTCGGTAGAGATATGAACTTATAACCTTTTAATAATCAAAATAGTGAAGTTACAATAGATGCATGCAATCATATATCAATCATTAAACTTTGATGCATGATATAATAATAAGTTGAATAGCTAATAGCTCCCTCCCTAAATTAAGCTTTTGGCATTACATTCTTGTCCACTGTAATATCTGCAAATGAAATCAACAAGAAACAGACTAAATCCCACACCACTTCTCATCTTCATCTTCAACTGATAGGAAACCCCAAACAAGAACCAGACTTGATTGAAAAACTTCCACATCCCAAAACTCATCCCTTCTCGTATTATTATTATATATATGAACATTCTGTGTTTTCATGAACATGAACATTGTTGCAGAGAACAGAATGGTGCCTCATCTGAAGCTGCTACTCATGGACAGCGAGGAGGACAGGAATGGATCATATCCCACATCACTTGGATATCTCTGTACTCTCCACATGACTCTATGTCCTTGTACAGGCTCCCTAGTCCCTTCCCATTGCCTGCCATTTTCACCCATTTCTTAAAACCACTTAGAGAAACAGAGAGAAACAGAGAGAAACAGAGAGATTACCTTTAGGCTGAACGAGATGCCGTGAGTTCACCCTAAGAAGAAACACCTTAGTGGGTAAGAGGAATGAGCGTTTCAAACAATCCCATAATCTCCATCCCTTCATCTTCTTCTTCTTTTTCTTCTTCTTCTTCTTCTTCTTCTCTCTCTCTCTTTCTCTCTCTAGGATCAAAACCAGAGTTCATAAACAAAGAACACACAGACGGACGTTTTGAGTGAAATCATTGAATCTATAATGGTTGAATTCAATTTGGTAGAAACCCACGAAGGATTAGACACAAAAAACCATGGAGATGACGACCAAATACAGTGAAAGTGGTTAAAAATGGCACCAAATTAAGATGGAAAGATGAGGAACATTTTGGGTATTGAGGATCGAATGAAAACATTAAGATTAAATAGGAGTAAAGAGTTTGGATTTTGCTTTCCCCATCTATCCTTTCCACCTAGATTCTCTTCCAACAATATAGACAATTTGGGCTAATAAACTGTTGGTTGTCTTTTCTATCGTTTTTTCTATCTACGTCCATATATGTTCTTTTCATGTTTTTAATACTTGGGTTCTTTTGTATCTATAAGGAACGTATTTTAGATCATTTTCCTTCCCTTCACATGTTTGTCGTTTAACCTCAAAGTTAGTTTTAGAAGGTTGGAACTTAGTTCAGTTCGTGTTCGTTTTATTGACAAATAAGAATGTATTATTTTAGTGAATGATATAGAAGAGAGGATTAAAATGCAACAGTTGGGAAGATAGGAAGGAATGTTGTTGTTGCCGTCTGATCGTAAGGTAAGATTAATGTTAATCGTCTTATGTTCGTGTTTTGTTTAGTGGTGGTCGTAGGAATTCATCATGTGCTGCCCTAACTGCCATTGTTTTGACATCTTACCAAATTGAGAGCCCTTGGTTTTATCCATATTTTTGTGATGGGACTTGGATCAAATGGAATTTGTGGATTGGAATATGAATTTTGAGATTTAGTGAACTCAAAGTCAACTTCAATCCCATGGAATGGCAATGGGAACCCCACTTTGAGGATTTTGAGATAACTTCGGGCTTATGTCGCATGTTTAGCTTAAGTTATACTTTAATATTATGAATCGATGAATTGAATGATTGAAAAATGTAATGACTTGATTTTTAATACTACGAATTACAAGTCACCACATACACTCAAAGGTAAAAAAGGGTGGTGAATTTTTCTTTTTTAAGACGGGAGACTTCAATACTGACATAAAAGGTAATATTCGCTGAGTCAAATCAAAATGGTTTACTAAAGATACATAAGTTTCGAGAAGTTGCAGTGAAAATAATAATAAAATGACAAGAAAGAAGATGACTCGATCTAAAGGCATCCCCTGTAATTGCACGACTCCACACTGTCATCAATAGTGGTCTACACTCCATCTGAAAGAATAACATGGGATGAGTATAAAATACTTAGTATGTAACCTACTTGTAGGCTCTTGTCAAACTTAATCATATGCATAGAAACTTAAGTTGTGTTTATAACTATTTTTAACTGATCGCTCAAACTATATGAATGGATGAAGTTTCTTTTTACATTTTGATGAACAAAGTGGTCTTTGTTCCCGTCACCATTTATCTCGAGAATTTTTTTCTTCCCACTCCCTCCGTTCTCGGCCTAATAAGAATGAGTCCCTTCAAGATTTCGTCCCTGCAAGAAGAATGGACATTTCTACTATTAGTAAAGTATAAGTGGGTAAACCATATCTATCTCTTGAAAGATTTGATCACAATGAGTACTAATCAAGAGAAAAGATTGATCAATTATTTCCTTCCAAGTTCACCTTTTTTTCATAATTCAATGCATTGAAAGCTAGCTTGGTTTCTACCATCGAGCAAGGAAACCCCACATCCTTCGCCACGATTAGACCTTTTTATTAGACTTTCTTTCCATCACATCCGCATCGATAAGAGTTGATGACTCAAACAACATGAATAGAATTCCAACCTAATTTTCTGTTTTCGCATGAGTTCGATTGAGTTGTTAGGTCAAAGAATCCTACTTGTCTGTCATACATCACAATACATTATTAATATTAGTTACAAACTTAAATATTCTTAATAATTTTAAAAACAAGATCGATTAGCATTTCTATTTTCGAGTTAGTTAGTTGAATTGATCTAATAGAAAAATTCTATGAATGGAAACAAATTTTCAATTTCCTAAAAATTTATTTCAACCTTTATGATTTAGAATAGATAATTTAGATTGGTCGAGTTTTTAAATCATATGAATGGCCCTGCACAAGACATCGAGATGTCCCTTTATTTATTATGTACTCTGTTTTAAAAAAGAAGAGTACTAAGCCCAAACAATCAAAACAACTTAAATTTACATGAAACAGAGGCCTATGAACCAAAAACAACACAGAACTAAAAAGTATCATTCATGGATGATGGAGTGAATCAGAATTGCAGCTTCATCTGTTGTGGTCACTGCATCACCTGTTTAGTTCATGACAATTTCAAATTTTCATTACTATATGGAATTCAATGAATTCAAATTTTCTGTTCTATGAAAATACCCACCTTGAAGTGAAGCAGGCAAGTGGGAGACAATGTTGTCTATAATACCTCCTCCGGCGCCGCCATTTCCGCCGTCGCTCTTTTCTTCAACCGACTCAGAACCGCCGCTTTTATCCCTTTCCTCTTCCCCACCATCTTCATTTCCCTCTGCAGACGCCATGTTTGCAATAAAATTCTTCAGAAACCCACTTTTCTTTCCTTCTTCTTCTTTCTCTGTCTTTTCTTCACTTGCCTCTGCAGAGACCATGCTGGAGATGAAATTCTTCAGAAACCTACTTTCTTTTTCTTCATCTTCTTCTTTCTTTTCTTCACCTCCCTCGGCAGACACCATGTTAGAAATGAAATTCCTCAGAAACCCACTTGACTTCTCCTTTTCTTCTTCTTCTTCTTCTTCTTCACCTCCTCGTTGTTGAATGGGTTTCTGAGGATGTTCCTCTGCAGCTCCACCTTCCATGGTTTCCAGATTTCCAGTTTCAGTTAAGGTTTCGATTAGATATCTATCGATGAAATCATCGAACATTCTTCTCTTGTCTGCATAAGCAGAAACTTGCAGAGGAATGGACGAGCGTCATTCCAAGCAATGATTAGAAAAAAAAGAGGCTTTTTTCAGGTTACACGTATGTTGTTGGAAACTTTGTTTTTGTCGAATGAAAAATCAACACGTGGAATATTTAAAAATATTTAAATGGAAGGTCGGTTGGAGATTTTCGATGCCTAAAAAAAATTAAAAATGATTTATTTGATACAAAAATTAAAAATTTAAGTACGTTTCCAAGACCATTTACCTCAACCTGCCTCACCGGTTTGTTCCACGGGTCATCATCAATAATCAAGCTCTTGAGGTCGATCAGCTGCAATTCGAGCTAGTTTGTTCGTTGTTCTTTGCCTTGTGATTCCCTGAAATGAAGCTGCTTTGTTTAGTCTGAATCAGAACTACCAAGACTTCATGGCCTACATATGCGAAGCCTGCAAAGGAAGTACTGCACCAGAAGCTTGCAGGCCTACAATGGCTTGGCAATACCTGGAAAATAGCAATGCTGGCAGTCAAGACTGATTTAGAACTCCAACAAGAAACTCAACATTTTAAACGCTGGCAAGGAAGGATCTTAAGATCAAACTGCCATTAAATTAGATACTAGAGACATGGAGGAGTTTCTAATTTGTAATAACAGTACTAGAAGATAATGATAGGATGATGCTAACATTAGTTCATGAGCTGATTGTAATGTTGCCTTCGCTCAGACAGTATAAAAGTTGGGAACTTCTTATCAGCTATTAATGCTATAAAACATAAAACAGATCAAGGGAAAGAATAGAACCTGATAGGAGTAAGTTAGAAACCACTAATCTCCACAATGATAGATATGATATTGTCCACTTTGAGCATAAACTCTCAAACCAATGGAAATGTATTCTTTACTTATAAACTCATCATCATCCCCTTAATTAACAAATGTGGAACTCTCTTTCAACAATCTTTTCCTCGAACAAAGTACATCATATAGTCTCCTTTGAGGTCTATGGAGCCCACGAATAGCCTCCCCTTAGTAGAAGCTCGACTCCTCTAGAGCCCTCGAACAAAGTACACAATTTGTTCAACACTTGAGTCACTTTTGACTACACTTTCAAGACTCACAACTTCTTTGTTCGAAACTTGAGAATTCTACATGACTAAGTTAAGGGTATGGCTCTTATACCGTGTTAGAAACCACGAACCCTTCACAATGGTATGATATTATCCACTTGCTTATGGAGATTGAATCTGATATTATGATTGGCAGGTGATGTCTAGATCTTGTACTTAATGCTTTCTGGAGGCCATGGTTTCTGGTGTTCCTGTCCAAATTCTATTCTGAACAATGCTCATATATTTGCTGATTGTTATACAAATGAGTATTACAATCATACTATATTGCTTCGGAACCACAACACAAAACTCCATATAACAACATCCTAGGATCGTCATATTTTCATTGTACGACCCATAGTGATATTACAATCATTTTCAGTGACTAATATGAGCAGACTATAATAGATCTTATAATTTAAACTGCCATACAGATGAGTGGAGTGGAGACAGAGTCAGTTGCTTCCTTGAGAATCAAATATCCATGATAATGCATTTACAATTTGCAAGACTAGGCGCCTAACATAGACGGGCATTCATTTCTTCAATAATCATCAAGGACTAAGGAGATGTGATTTACAATATGTTATCACAAACGACAGTACTTTAGAGATTAGTCCTTTAAACATACATATACAACAAAATAAACATTCGATTTTAATACCATGAGATAAAGAAAGAAGAAGGAACAAGCTATAGTGAGCTGCTAATTCACAATGTTATGGATGTCTGGTACTATGGGGAATTAATCATATTCCAAATGCCATTGCATATATCAAAAGAAGATATATTAGTCGGGTCGAATTCAAACTCTTGCACAACCCGTTTATTTCTGTCCACAATATCTGTAGTTGATCAACGTTAAGGTAAAGAAATCGCAATAAGGAAACAGAAAAGAGTACAAATTCAGATGAAGGATACGGCCAGAAATTTTAGACTGATCGTCCATGTTTGGTATTATATCAGTGACCGAAGCATACATTGAAAGCTTCCTCCTGCAAGAAAAAAATAAAATTTGAATCAATTCAAAACACGAGAATTGTCAGGTTAATGTTATCAAAAGATTAATGAGAATTGAGTTGTAAGAGATCTTTGATGGCCACCTAGTTTATAAGTTCATGGTTAAAACGAATACGATAATTGCAACTACTACAAATTCAATTCTGGAATGAACTACAGTTCCAAATGTGAAGGACAGTGAATCCAGCACACCCGTTGGGAGATCCCACATCGGTATCGGTTGGGGAGGAGCATGAAACATTTCTTATAAGGGTGTGTAGAAACCTCTCCCTAGCAGATGTGTTTTAAAAACTTTGAGGAGAAGTCCAAAGAGGACAATATCTACTAGTAGTGGGCTTGGGCTGTTACACCCCTCCACAATGTTATTTTGTCTACTTTGGCGTATCCTCTCATTGGTTTCACCTAAAAAATATCGTACCAAGGAAGATAATTCTCCTCGCTTATATTCCATAAATATATCCCTTTCCTCTTTAATGTGGTAACATATTAGTCCATTCCACCTCATTTTAAATAATGACTTTGACAACTATTTGTACTTGGTAGTGTTGTTTACTAATCATTGTTACCTCTGTTTCTTCTCTCATTCATCTCTTGGCAAATTTCAAATACCTTACAGAAAAACTCTCCATTTTCAACACAGGACAAAGATTCCATAGCTTTAAGATCTGAAGAGGTTGGCATTATCGACATCATGAATCAAATATTAGACTATAAAACGTTCATTACTTCAAAAAATTAAGCAGCCATCTTCATAGGAGTGCCTACCTTGTTAACTTTTCTAACCATAAGCTATCAATAGGAAGAACAAAGGTGCCAATAACCTATAATTTATGTGCATAAAAGGTAAACCTTCTCAACTTCCAAGTTCCAACTAAAAATACATTAAAAAAGATGTGTTTGTCAGATAATACTTGATACTGCACAATGCTGAAATAGATACAAAATTCACAGGATTAGTTAATTGCTACCAAATGAAGTCACAATTACAGATGACAAAGCAACTTCAAAACAGAAAAGAAACTCACTGCGTCCTAAGTTCTTGTTGCTCAAGTTTCTTCATTGCCTGCTTCCTTTCTTGAACAGAAATCCTTTGGCGGTCTAGATCATTAATCTCACTGGTGATAATTGTGTTGACGAAAAGCGGGTGCATCATACATACATGTGACAGGAAAATACATTAGGAACAAACAATCATATGAATAGCTTAACAATAAAAGTTAATTTTACACTTATCTAATTTCCTCCATTAGCAAATTCCCTTTGCCAAGTTCCTCTCCGAGCTCCTTTTCGAGAATATCGATTTCATCATCTGCAACAGTGCTCGCTTTCGCCTCCTCTGTTTTCTGCCGGCATGCCTCGATTTTCTTCTCATAATCTGCAAAAGACCTAGAATTTATAACCTCGAAATGATTTGAAATACAACCTTTATTTAGAGAGAGAGAGAGAGTAGACCTTGAACTGAGCTTTGAACATTACTGAAATCATCGAAGCAAGAAGATTGAAGCGTCTTGAAATGTTCAAGACATTGATTCAAGGTTTGAACATCATTTTGGTCGTTCAAGAGCGCTACCAGATCGTCGCCATAAGATAAAATCTCCTCGATGTTGAACTTTCCGGCGAAATCTGCCATTCCTGTTAATTGAACAACAAATCGACAACGAGGTTCCTGGAAGTAGGGGAAATTTCAGGGGAGAGAAGAAGAGTAAAGTGACGATAGTAAATTTTGAATTCAGGAGTCAGTGGGGAAGCCTTTTTCGGGCGATCTTCATTCCTAGGGCTCCAACTCAGAAAAATCAATTTTGTTTTGGCGCCAAAAATCAATGTATTTTATTTAAATATGGCTAAATTAATAAAATCACCGATAAATTTTATATCAACTTTAAAAATACCTTTAAACTAAATAATAAAAATAAAAAAAAAAATCTTTATTAAAAAAAGTTTTTAAGAAAATTCTTGTGCATTCATTCATTATAAATTATTTCCAAACATTTTAATTTTACTTTTCAAAGTGCATGAACATTTTTTTAAACACTATAACCGGAAAAGTATTTTAAAATAAATAAAATTAAATAGACTATATATATATTTTTTATTTTTTAGTTATGAGAGAGAGCTAATATCGATTTATAATATGAAAAAGCAAAACGTATGTATTCTAACAATAGATTAGCAAAGCACAAATTGTCAATATGTCCGAGTGGTTAAGGAGACAGACTCGAAATCTGTTGGGCTTTGCCTGCGCAGGTTCGAATCCTGCTGTTGACGACTTTTTGGATTTTTTTTTTTTTAAATTCAAATTCAATCCAATTTTATTTATTTTTATTTATTTTGCCAACTAAATGAACTTTGTAATTTGTTGTTATTATTATCTAAGTTAAAAGCTAACTTTTCATATTAATTTAATTAATAAAAATTACTAAAAAAAACCTCAAAGTATTAGGTCTTCAAACATAAAACTGACTTTGAAAAAGATAAAGATATAATTTGCATGGGAACATTTACCATCAATCCAGTAGGAACATAATGACCGCTCGAGTTCTTGATTATAAAGATATCCTACACAATTAAATTGGCTACCACTACAATAACTGCTCGAGTTCTTGAGGTCGGAGAGGGGCACATCCGAGTGCTAGGTCAATTTTGTGCCAGTTGAAGACCAACTTTGAGATGCATATAATTGAAAGAGAGCATCACCTCATCTCATTTTCAATAGTCAATTCGAGAGGCAAATCCAATTAAGAGGTTATTGGTCTTGATACAATTCACGATACATGATTAGAATGTTGGTTTCAGCTCCCGAAAGGAAATTAATCGAACGAGAATTAGTAGTAGTATTACTTGCTAACAATCTCTCGCTACCAACTCAAAATAAAAAATTAAGAAAATATAATGTCATAAACACAAAATTTAAACATTTAATCACGCAAATACCTTATAATAAAAAACATTCAAAATATTTGAATGTGAGGCTATCATTTATTTCTATTACCATAGGTAATTTAATCGCTAAAAATCTTCTTCGATCTCTTTCATGTTACCGTGAAATATATCAATTATTACTTTCGACCTTTATAAATGGTGGATCCCTTCGTAGAATAGTTTCTAACGAAGAACATAGTTTCAAATCGTTCACACCGTAAAATTCATGTCTCATCTCAGAAACTTCCGTTCAAACTATGCATTCATTCTACAACATGAAACCGATCTAATTCTAGAGCCACTATAATTAATGATTGTTTTTATACGAAGACGAGATACCTGACATTTCACGACCGTAAATGGATTGTCGAAAAAAGCAAGATTTTTGCACAATGCACAATTTAAATTTGAAACTTTCAAATAAGACTAGATTTACCGATGAAAAACATGTGAATACTTAATTTATAAAATGTCGGGCAAAAAAACATTAAAAAAAAAAGGAAAATTTTATATATCTTCCTTTGTCAATAAAAAAAAATAGTAATGATTATATAAACTCAAAGAATAAAATAATATATCATCAGATGATGTCTCATATATTGAATAAATCGATGTATATATAATATTAGAAATTTTCTCAAGGGCCATATTTTCAAAGGACGTCTATATGGGACTATTTAGTCGAATCTACGGGTGTATATGGGTTGGGGTGGAAAAATATTTAGGATCAACTCGAAATTTTGGGTTGATGATCCGAGTAATTTGAATAAAGTTCACAACCTAACCCTCTATTTTCGGGTTGGGTTAGGTTGAGTTTTTTTTTTTTTTTAATTATTTAAAACATCATACTGATCTACTATATAAGTTACGTTAATAAATAAAATCTCACTAGTTGACTCTTCCTCGTAAACAGCTAGTTACTAGTTGCTGGATGGGACTTTACCCGGCCCTTCAACAAGCTTATCTTGTCCTTCATGATGTCTCTGTTATGCTTATGTCTCAACATGTCTTCAATGCCCACTTTGTGTGGTGGTGTGTTGGATGATGCATCGTCCTCCTCGATCGCATCATGGCATTCTTCTATGTTGGCCAGATGGACGTCTCTTGAGGGACGCCCCTTTGCTTGTCATGGCGTGAGGGTCATAACCTACTCTCTTCATACTATGTTTGTGACATTCTCCTTCACTTAACTTAGTCATCATCGTCGATGACTTACTCGAATCACAATCATATCATAATCGTCCTCCTCGATTGCATCATGGCATTCTTCTATGTTGGCCCGCATATGGCTGGATGGGCGTCTCTTGAGGGACGCCCCTTTGCTTGTCATGGCGTGAGGGTCACAACCTACTCTCTTCACACTATGGTTGTGACATTCTCCTCCACTTAACTTAGTCTTTGCTTGTCATGGCATGAGGGTCACAACCTGCTTTCTTCATACTATGGTTGTGACATTCTCCTCCACTTAACTTAGCCATCGTCCTCGATGACTTACTCGAGTTACAATCATATTGCAGATTGTGACATTGTCTTTAGCCTAACGGCCTTATCTTATCTGGCCGTTTCAAACTACCTTTCCTTCTTTTAAGGCTTACTCTCCTACATTCAACCTTCATACTTCTTTTTTCGAAAAAATAATGGAGAATTTTTTATTCCCATTTCCTTTGTAGGTTAATTAAATAATTTTAATATGTTTGAGTGATCAAGTAGACAGACTTGAAATCTATTATGCTTTATCTACCCATTGACGAAATTTTTCCAAACTTTAACGAACAAAAATGAGTACATGAATAAGAATTAGGGTTTAGTATAAAAATTTATATTAACTATAGATCAAATTAAGAATTCAAACTAAATTATATGTGTCTTTTGCTTTGCTTTACAGAAGATTTGGATCCAACCCTACGGTTGCTATCCCTCACCGGACTTCTCACTCCACACAACCGATGGTGGTGCTTTATCCGCCATGGAAACAACATGTCTAGCCCACAACCCTTCGGCGGTGAAAATGGCCTCCCTCCCACCCTCTGCGGCGAGAAAGCGTGGCGGTTCAACACCGATGAGGCTGCTAATGCCGTTGCATCCGGTAGAAACCGCTCGATCATGAAATTCGACGACCGCTTGTAACTCACATTCTTTCCTTCTTCTTCTTCTTCTTCCTTCTCTCTATATAAATTCAGCTCGTTTAGCTTCAAATCCTTCTCGGCCTTCTCGACTATGTCGATGGCCTCCGACAACGAGAACACATCCACGACATCGGACAAGACATAATCACTCTCACTCAAATTGTCGTCACTCTCACTATGTCGAGTGTTTTCTTCTGAAAATTCGAAACTTGGAATCAAATCATATAAACTAAATTTCCAATTCAAAACAATTTAAAAAAATTTCATAAACCCTACTTGTTTGAATCGGTGGTCGCCACCATCGAGGCGGAAGTGTAGGACGAGGAGTAGTAGCGGAGCTGTCGTAAACGACGTCGTGACATCTCTCGACATAGTCCTTGGGCTTGCCAGGAGCTTGCTCCCAACAGAAAGGAACTCGGTCGCTGGTTGTGGAGCCGGAGATACTCAAGCGACCGATACCAACATTGGAGGCGGCGGGACGGCGGGTGGTCAAAAGGGGAGCGTTAAAGTTGAGTTTCCGAGCAATATGGTGGTGGCCGTAGCTCCGGCGTTGGTCGTGGTCGTGGTCGTGTTCCATGAGATGGGTTGAAAAATGAATGGAAATGGGATTTGGTTGTGTTTGGAGATAAGATTAAAAGGGAAGTTAGGGAAGTTAGTTGAAAAATGAGGAGTTGAAACAGCTGGAGAATTATGGACATCTCGTGTGTTTCATTAAAGCCTAAATTTTTATTTATTTATTTATTTTTTAATTTTTTTAAAATTATTTATTTAATTTCTGGCAGATATATTTGTCACAAGACACAGTGGGATGAAGCTTTAATTAACTTATCAACTTCCATCAGATTCTCTGCTTCATTTGGAATTTACTGATATTTTTAGCTTACACGTGTCAACCATCCAGAATATTTGTGGAATAAAAAGTAATTTACTAAAAAAAATTAATTTTTCTTTTTTATTCAGAATTATGGGTCATTTGCTTATAGTATGCTCCGATATTTAAATCTCGAACTCGTACTCAATGAAAATAGAAAGACAACAAAAAATGAACGGTGGATCACCATTGAGCCTGGGCTCGAAGGGGATGGATTTTGAGACCTCAGTTAAAGAAGGAAGGATAAGAAAATCTCTCCTTAACGGACCCGTTTTAAAAATCTTAAAAATAGGCTCCTCAAAAAAACGGCGGCTATCAAAAAAATTAGAAAATGTTACGAATCTCGAGCCATGTGGCTTCCAGCCCGTTCTAACAATACACTTTTCAAACGAGTATTAGATAAGTTTCTAAATTACTTTTAATTTTTTTTAATATATTTTAATAATATTAGGTTCAAATTTGTACATAACGTAGGGCCCAAACCTTGTTTCGGCCCAGTCATAGGTCCATGATCAGCCCAATTTAGAATCAGGGTGGCTCTAAACTTGGGCCGAGCAGATCAAATGGAGCATAATTGAATTGACTTTTCTACCCTTTTTCTCGTCTTTTTTGTGCGTCATATATAATTAATTATCTCTATTTTTGTTATTTTGATTTATTTTTATAACATATTCTAGGCTAAATTAATAAAATTATTATTTAAAAAATATTTTAAAACTAAATTTTATATAATAAATGCATTAATTAATAAAACTGAACTTATCCATTTTCATTTTCAATGCTTTATGAGAATATAAATATAATTAATTAATAAAAACCAATCAAAATCATTTATTATTTTTTTTTGGGGAAAATCTTTGGTTAATTTGACTGCCAATTCATCTTTTTATTTTCTTTTATTATATCATATTATATACGCGAATTCACATGGGAGTGATTGATTGAATAAAAACTCATGGGATTAAGTCAAATCACATATTTATTTTAAAATATGTGAAAGTTGAATAAAAATATACCTTAAATTAATTAGATTTTGTCGATGTTTGACTAAGTTTATAAATGTAGAATAAATTCTACGCTTGAAAATTAAATTAAACTTTAGGGACAATCATTTATTCTACTTATATGTCGATCGTAATTATTTTAATGGTTGGAATAATACCACTGGGGCTAGTAGGCTAAATAATTGAAGTGTTTGAATTGCACCTTATGTATCGGAAAATGATCTATGGAATGTGTCTAGTCTTTTGATTCAAAATATGTCTTGACGTCATCTTAAGTTAAGAGGTATTATCAGCCATCACAACTCATTTGGTCATGCCATCGAGAACGAGTCCACATGTTGTTCATCTCTTTGTGACATTTTGAACATCTATTCATTCGTGGTGTGGGTTGGTTGTTTCGACGTTAGATTTGTGGGATTATCGTCGCCGGAGAACTCTCGAACTCACTCTCTCCTCTTGTTATCTCTCTGTGTTTCTCCTCTTTTCCTTGTAGGTGTTTTGTGACGAGTGGTTGAAGTTTGTGGAGTTCATTGGCATGCCATGGAGGTTGGGAGAGCGTGTGCCCGAGTGATGTGCGAGAATTCTAACGCTCACTGAAATTCTCAAGACATTTATACTTTACTAAGACACTTATCTAACGTTTGTGTCGATAGTAAAATGTCTCAAACGTCTTAACGTTAACTATTCATTTACACACAAGGGCTTTAAAGTGATCTCTAAACTGAACGTAAAAGTCATTTTTCATCGAACTACAAAAGGTCCAGAGGACACTAAGAAACTCTTAATCGAGTTGATACCGAGCTCGATTTTTTTTCTTCTTTTTGCATATATAAAAGTATGGATAAGTTAATTAAAATTTCAATCAATGCCAAAAGCCTAAAAAAAAAAAAACAAAAAAACAATGGAATGAGGTAGAATAAGACAACCACTGCCTTTGACTGAGAATTAATAAAATGTATTTTTGTCGTGTCGTTTTCTATTCCTCCAACCCATGCATACGTAGTGATTGGGACAACTCCATTATAAATTATTAAATTTTAAATATACCAAAACTAGGCCCTTAAATTGGTCAAAATAATTAATTATATAATTTTATGCATAAATTTGTCATAAACCCTTCCCTTGCTTCACATTGGTCAAAGATATCAATATAGATAAACATGTTAATTAAAAATTTGAAAATATCTTGTCTTCTTTATATAATAATTAATGTTAATTAATTACGACATAATTTTTAATGGTATACTACTCGGTTTCTCCCCTTCAAATTGGAGAAAATAAGGTTATGGGTGTTTGGACCAACTCGGACTACTCAACCCTAAACAATAAAGGTTAGGTTGGGTTGGGTTATATATATATATAGTTTCGGTTGGATTGAGTTTTTGAAAAATTAAAAATTTGGGTCGATTCGTGGGCTGAAAGGGTTACAACTGAATCCAGTCGTACCCTACTGTTAAAATTATTATAAATATTAATAATATTTGATATTATAATCGCTATTAGTGATGCATTGTGACTTATGATACAAGGTGTATGACAAATAACTATGATTTTTTAAAATATTTTTTTTAAAAAAAGAACAACCCCAACTTAAAGTGGGAGAGAGATTTGGGTTGGGTTGTAAACCCTAGTTAGGACTATTCATGTCACCAATTCAACTAACCCAAAATGTAGGTTAGTTCCAAAGATATGGTCATACACCTCCGTATTGACCCAATATGAAATGGTAAAAGTCTATCTAGAATGAAAGCATGTAAAACGGGTTTGAAACAGGCACGCAACCATAGGCAATACACCTCGGACAAGCATGACCACGACATCCTCCCCCACTCAATTGGTTGACGTTCTTGTCAATCGACTCGGACAAAGACTGGGACATCTATCATGTGACCATAGACAACGTGCTTTGGACAAGCATGACTATAACATCATCCAACCTATATATACACTTAACGTGAATGACCAAATATAGGATCATTTCCCTAAAAAAATAATTATTAAAGGGAAGTGGTATACAAAATTTTGTCCAAATAAATTATTAAAAGTCTTTTTTTTTACCATTTAAAATTCATTTCTAAAATTAAATATATATAGGAGCTAAAGGAATATGGTAATGATTTGTTTATTTACCTGTCACACACACACATAAAATAATAAAATGAATTTTAAAAAAAGATACGGCATCGTATAATTGGCAATAAAATATTATTGATGGAAATACCACCCACCTACCAATAATATATTATATATATAATATAATAGAGAGACAAACATGGTATGGTATGGTTGGACATGTATGATGCATATGTGCACATGCATGGTGCATATATAAATAAATAAATATATATATATAATAAATGACGAAAAAGGACAGACATACTCATTCTCAAATTATGGGTTAGATCCGCATAAATAGGCACTTCGCATTCTAATGCAAAATTTAAATTATATATATACTTTTAAAATTAAATAATAATAATAATAAAAAAAAAAAAAACAGACAGAGCCATGTTTTAGCGTTGACCTAACAGGATAAGGCATCGGGAGTGAGTGAATCTTTCTGACTGTGTGTTTTTTATTTTTATTTTTTATTTTTTTGATTTTTTTGGATGGGATTTTGATGTTCAACATGTGGGAACTTATCATGGAACCTCTCGTCTTGTCGTGTAAGAATTGAAATTAACAATATTTAAGGATATTTGGGAATCTCTAGGTGAAGGGTTCGAGAAAATGAAAGATGGATGGACTAATTAATTACCTACTAAAGCGAGTAATTGTTGAGATTTTCAAGATATAATAGAGGTGAGTGGTTGTTTGATCTTGTGAATCTCGTGATTGTTCGAAGAACGTTCATGAGATTTTTGATCGATTGAGACTTTGTATGCACGAGAGAGTTATAGGTACAACATACGAATCAAACTCTTTTAAGAACGACCACTATTGGAAGAAGTTTTTGTACTTTAGGTCAAAAACATGTCTAATTATGATTTTTGATCGATTGAGACTTTGTATGCACGAGAGAGTTATAGGTACAACATACGAATCAAACTCTTTTAAGAACGACCACTATTGGAAGAAGTTTTTGTACTTTAGGTCAAAAACATGTCTAATCATGATTTTTTAGATAGATGAGACATTGAAAACCACCATTGTTGTTGGTATAAGTAAAGCAATTAATTCTCTTAAATATGTGCTACTATGAGACCAACGTCGAGAAGCTAGGTGATGTTATGTTTTGGTAGAAGAATGATTGATATCTGGCTTATCGAACGTTGTTTGTCGCATGTGTTTCTATTATCGACATGAACCTCATTAATGGGTCTCATTTTGTGTCTAAGTCTCGATCTAGATTATTTAAGGAGAGTAAATATTGAACATGATGTATCTTTCATCTCATGTCTTTGATCCCTCTACTAACTATTTTGTTGGACACTGACTAGACCTGAAATCATATGAAAGAAGTGTATGGGTCTTGATCACGGTGTTGAAGTTGAGAATATTTGTTAAAACCACTCGATCTAAAGAGTGGTGAGAGTTATTTATTTATAATCATTTACATAATCAAATAAATTATAAAGGAAATGGAAAGAACAATAGATAGATGCACAATATTAGCCTATTATCAAAGGTCAAGTATGATTGATACACGTGGTAAACCGTAATGGAAGGCTAAATATCCTCAAGAATACAAGATATTAGCCTATAATCAAGGGTCAAATATGATATAAACCGTAATAGAAATCTAAATATCATCATAAGTATCAATCTGAAGCTAGTGAATCGGCCTGAAATATATAAAACTTCCTTAAAACGTGTTATTCTATATTTATATGGGCTCAAAATCCTCGAGTAACGTAATTGGTTCATCTATCCCTTCACCTAGAATCCTACTAGAGGGTGAAGAGTTATTCTTTGTCCCAACGATTTGTATAAGTTGTATAAGCGTATATAATCAATTGCTCACTAACTTTTACTTTGGTTTATTTGTCTCGAAACCAAACCAGATCCATCTATAAGAAACAACAATTAATTGTCGGGATGAAATAACTCATTATCTGTTTGGAGACAAACATGTTACAAATGACATGACAACCTAAGAAAACACAAATGGCACTAAATGAGTTCCTCAACAACAAAAATAGGGTGCAATGGCTCAAGACTCTCGTGAATTTAAAGCCACAAAAAGGCCTCCATCAAGCTAGCTAAGCTACACATGAAAGACAGCAAAATCATGAACCAATGCACGTGGAAGGAATGAAAACACCAAACCCAACTCTTCTTTCCCATTCTTTTCTCAAAAAACCTTTCACCTAAAAGCACACCTTTTCTAAACGTTACATTATATCCCGCTTTCCTTCTATTTGATTTACGATACTGTTTACTTTTTAAAACATTATTCAAATAGCGATTACGCGACATCATACCAATTCAAACATAGTTCAGTCAATAAAACACTAACTATATTCAAATGTCTAACGTCTGGTTCATATCTTTAACCTAGTTGAGTTTTTTTTTTTTATAAATATTTTCAAAATTATTAAGGTCATTTCTTCGAAAATATTAATTTAATTACCTAATTACAATCGTGACCACAAAATAGGGATTTTTTTTTAAAAAAAAATAAGCTTAAATAAATGCAAATATAAAATTGGTATGGGAAAACATTATTCATTTTTTTTATATATATATTTGGAGACATACCAAAAGGACAAATGTAATGCCTTGATTTTCTTTTTCAAAATTATTATTGATTTATGATAATAATAAGTTAATTAAAAAAGATGCTTTGGAATTATTGTAACACAAAACATATATTATATTGGAATTCAACTCGAAAAATATAAAATATGGATGGATTCACATGAGCCATGTACCATGCGCCCACATGCATGATAATGGCATGCATGCTCATAATTATTATTATTTTTTTTTTAATTTTCCCTGAATTTCCTTTAATTTCTTCAAAATTCAAATTAACCTAATTATTTTTATTTATTAATAATAAAAATAAATTTTTTAACCGTCCCAACATATCTAGAGACCAGACACGAGTCTTCTGTCTTCTCCATGAAGATCTGTCTCTTTAACCAGCTAGGGTTTCTCTCTCCTCGTTTCTCTCTCTTAAGTGGGTTAATAGATCCATATCTCTACACCCAAACTTTCTCTCTCTCTCTCTCTCTCAATTATGGAAGCAGGAAGCGATGGTGGTGGTGCGGCGGCGGCGGCGGCGGAGGTGGCGGCGGAATGTTCAAACTCGGAAAGCGATTTGGGAAATGAAGGGAGCTCAAACAACAGCACAATAGAAGAGAATGATCAACAAAAGAAGCCGAGTGTGAGGCCGTATGTTCGATCCAAACTCCCTAGACTCCGGTGGACATCCGATCTCCACTCCCGTTTTGTTCATGCCGTTGAAAGACTCGGCGGTCAAGAAAGTAATTATCTTTTTAAACGATTAGATTCGAGTTATAATTCGAGTGGAGAATCGAACAATCGATTTGAATTGAATTTTGTGTTTGATTTTGTTGTGTAGATGCTACGCCTAAGTTGGTTCTTCAGCTAATGAATATCAAAGGATTGAACATAGCTCATGTCAAGAGCCATCTTCAGGTTTGTTAATCTCTCTCTTTATGTAAGAAATTTATTGAATAATTTGGATGTTGAATTTTGAAATTGTGTTACTTTCAGATGTATAGAAGCAAGAACACCAATGAATCAAGCCAAGGTATTTATAAACTTGTTCTTATGATTTTATGTTGATTTTCGATTCATTTATTTGAAGTTTTCTTTGAAGAACAGTGATGGATCAAAGGGTTCTTATGAATGAAAGTTGTGGAGATCATAACATATTTACTGTCAGCCAAATCCCCATGTTTCAACGTTTCAATCAAAGCTATGCCTCCAATGTTTTTCGGTAAGAACTTCGATTCAAGTTTGAAGTAGTAGAAAGTGTTTTTGATTCAAATTAGGACGTACTTTTCAAAATATATTGTGAGATCTCACGTTGATCGGGGAAGAGAACGGAGTATTCTTTATAAGGGTGTGAAAACTTCTCTCTAGTAGACGGGTTTTAAGAACCTTGAGAGAAACTTGAAAGAAAAAGTCTAAAGAGGACAATATCTGCTAGCGGTAGGTTTTGACTGTTATAAATTGTATCTGAGCCAGATATCGGGCGGTGTGCCAGCACGGACGCTGAGCCCTAAAGGGGAGTGAACACAAGGCGGTGTGCCAGCACAAACGTTGAACCCTGGAGGAGGTGAAAATAAGGCGGTGTGCCAGCACGGGCGTTGAACCCTGAAGGGGGTGAAAACGAGGTGGTGTGCTAGCACGAACGCTAAGCCCTAAAGGAGGGGTGAAGACGAGGTGGTGAGCCAGCGAGGTTGCTGGGCCCCGAAAGGGGGTGAAAACGAGACGGTGTGCCAGCACGAACACTAAGTCCTGAAGGGGGGTAAACACGAGGTGGTGTCCTAGCAAGGTCACTGGGCCTTGAAAGGGGGTGGATTGTGAGATCTCACGTCGGTAAGGGAGAAGAACGAAATATTCTTTATAAGGGTGTAAAAACTTCTCCCTAGCAAACGTGTTTTAAAAATCTTGAGAGGAATCAAAAGAGAAACCTTAAAGATGAAAATATTATTTATATGTTTATTTTTCAAAAATTATTTCAAACTCACTCTACCTTCTTGACCTTCTTGTTAGATTCGGCGGGTCAACATGGAATGCTTACGATACGAAAACAATACAAACCCCATATACCGAGAAGGCGAGATCGAGGCTCTTCGGCAGCAGCAAGAGCGCTACACCGGGAACAAACATCTGCAAGAATCGCAGCTCGATCGGTGAACAGAACACGACAACGAGCAAAAGGGAAGAAATGAGGGAAAAGGAAGATCCATGCAGAGACATAAAAATTACAGAGAAAAGGAAAACCCCAGATGGAGAAATTGACTTGAGTTTATCCCTAAAGATTGCACCAACAGAAGGGATGAAGATTGATAAGAGACGAAGAACACGAGAAGAACACGAACAAGAACACGAAGAACGTAGAACTGATTTAACCCTATCTTTATGCCCATACTATTCAACTTCTCCATAACTAGAGAGAGAAGAGGAAAGAGAGAGAAAGTAAGTACTCTGGATCTGACTATATGAATTGAAGAGAACAAATTCTAAGTGAGATCCTGAAGTACTTATTTCCCAGTTCGTGTTCTTATGGATGCATCATTTTTCTTTAAATGTATATTATAGTTCAGATATCTTTAACCCTAAACGAACACGTTCTCCTCTTTCTTTTCTCGACTTTCGAGCACGTTTACAAAATCTTCAAACTTTCTAAATATCTATTACCTTACTAATTTTCAGTTTATGTTTAGAAAATTTCTCGTATATTCAAATATTTTACTTACATTGAAAAATAATTATAAAATGACGTTGGTGGAAGGAGTTGCCTCTTTCAATCTTAGAACAAATCTCCAAATAAAAATATCTAACGATACTGATTTTCTACCGATCCAATTTTGTGTACATATCAGAGCTTTCACTGTTCTCTAATCTTGTAAAGTGATCACACACGGTTGATTTACTGGGTTTCTTCTTCTTAAATTCAGATTGGGTAGCCAACGGTAGTTTCGATGCATTATAATTACTATAGCTACTTGCACATATTGTTTCACTATTGTTTTCCATCTATATAAAAAGTAAAATAAGTTTCTTTATATTGGGCTTTAACTTTGGGCCTTTGGACTTTAATTTCATTTTTTTTATTTTCGGGTTGGGCCCAGGGTCGGGTTGGGTTCCCGGGTTTCCGGGCACCCCTAACTGAGCTAGACAAATAATTTCATAAAAATAACCACAACACGTCCAAAAAAATTTCAACCTATGACCACAAGTCAAGAGACTTACACTCTACCAATTTAACGAGCTCACAAAATAATAATTTTAAATCACACAAAACATTTTATAAAAATAAAAACATATAATAAAAAGAAAAAAAAAATTAAATTAGCTTTGTGCTCTACCAACCGAGCTAAACGAGCTCACAAAAATAATTTTAAATCACACCAAACATTTTATTAAAATAAAAACATATAATAAGCGCAACTACTGACTGACGTTCTTCAGTTCTAGGTCTTAACGCTCTCCGCGCTGGCTCTTTCTGGTAATGCATGAGAGGCTGTCTTCCTTCCACCCACCTCTCTCTATCGCCCTCCTTTTTTTTAGCAGCTCATCTCGAATCGTCGAATGTTTAGTGAATCGATCCTAATTGGTCTGACAGCTCAAGGCTTATCTCTCGATTCCCTTTTCTAGTCTCCGGTCATTGGTAGAAAGCCTTTCAATTCCATTTCTCTCCTATACTTCTTTCTATTGGCTATATATCTTTACAATGCCAGAAAAAGCTTTCTTCTGTCTCGAGGAAAAGAAGGTATGTGCAAGTGCAGTAGTTCAAGGCAGGCAAGTAGTAAAGGCAAGAAAAAATTAGCAAAAAAAGTAAACACCCACCATGGGATTCAAACCCCTTGTGGTCATTGGTTAAGAGCTTTGTGCTCTACCAACTGAGCTAAACGAGCTCACAAAAATAATTTTAAATCACATAAAACATTTTATAAAAATAAAAATATATAATAAAAAGAAAACGCTCGACACGCCAACTAAGCAAGACGGGCTCACAAAATAATAATTTTAAATCACACAAAACATTTTATAAAAATAAAAATATATAATAAAAAGAAAACGCTCAACACGCCCACCATGGAATTCAAACCCATGCCACAAGGTTAAGAGCCTTGTGCTATACCAACTGAGCTAGACGGGCTCACAAAATAATAATTTTAAATCACACAAAATATTTTATAAAAATAAAAACATATAATAAAAAGAAAACGCTCAAATTACTTCACATGATAAAAAAATTAAATTAGCAAAAAAAAATAAACGCCCACCATGGGATTCGAACCCACAACCATAATGTTAAGAGCCTTGCGCTCTACCAACTGAACTAGAAAAAAGAAAATGTCAACCATGGAGTTTGAGCCCATGACACAAGGTTAAGAGCCATGTGTTCTACCAACTAACTAAAACAAGCTCACAAAATAATAATTTTAAATTACACAAAATATTTTATAAAAATAATTACCGATAATAAAAAGATGGAGAACCCACAACTATAAGTTAAAGAGTTGCATTTTATGAGTAAAAAAAATACAAGACACTCACCATAGAGTACAAATCCACGACCATAAGATTAGGACCTTTACGCTCACCATAGAGTACAAACCCACGACCATAAGATTAGGACCTTTACCCTCACCATAGAGTACAAACCCACGACCATAAGATTAGGACCTTTACGCTCACCATAGAGTACAAACCCACGACCATAATATTAGGACCTTTATGCTCACCATACAGTACAAACCCACGAGCTCACAAAATAATAAGTTTAACCTTGCACAAAACATTTTATAAAACTAACAACCTATAACAAAATTTACTAAAAAGTTGAAAAGGAATGGCCACCGTTAAACTAGCTGAAAAGAAAACGCCTATCGTGTGCTCTAACAATTGAGCTAGACGTACTTGTATGATAATAATTTTAAATTACACAAATAATCTTATAAAAATAACTAGAGATAACAAAATAAAAAAGAAAACACCCATGACCAGCCTTGAGCTAGATGGACCCACGTGATTAAAAATTAAAATTACAGAAATTTACTAAAAAAAAGTTTAAAAAGAAACGCCCAAGCACGTGATAAAAATTTTGAGTTAGAAAAATAATTTTATAAAAACAATGTCAAATAACAAAATTCACTAAAAATAAAAAATAAAAAACGCCTAGGGGAGGCTTGAACACAGATGGATAATGTTAAGGGCGGTGTTCTCTGCTGTATTAATCTTTCGTCTTTCTCTCTAATACCTAGGTGTCACTCTTTTCTTAAGGCTGCTATTTCAGATTTTTCATGATTTAATGTCGCAGTAAAAGAAATAAAAAGGTCATCTCACGTCCGACCAATGGGGTTAGAATTGAATTTACTCGAATATAAAGAAACGAATTAGAATAGGGATGAGATTGATTAAACGAGGACTTCATTATCTAGAAACAATCAATGAAAAAGATGCTCTTGACAAAGAAACTTTCGAGTTGTTGTGCCTCGACCTAGAAGGAGAGAATGACCGAGCGATCAAAAACAACTTTTTCCTTTTTCGAATGAAAAACCACTAAAAAAGAAAATGTTCCTTTTAGATCCTTCTTCTTTTCCACAGCAAAGCAACTCGACTGATAGGCGGGAGTTTCAATTAGAGTTGGTTATTTGTTCGGGCCGGGACCGATAAGTTAGAGGCTATAACCCAAAGTCTAATGGTGAAGCTATAGAAACATTTATAATTGATCAGAACATTAAGAAAAGAAGACAGTGAATTCTGTGTCAGATAAAAATACATGTGCTGCTCCGAAAGTGGTGGGACACAATCCAGTCATGAACAAGATTGGTATGACCTGCGAGGGGAGCAGAAGAAAAGGAACAGCACACTAAATGCTCACAAAACTACGCATACAGTTCTTTGTTGAGATCCACAAGCAAAGATGGCCCCATCACAGTAAGGGGTCTGGTGGCTATGGAATTTATTAAGGTTTTTCGTTACAGACATTTAACATTCGACTAAGATTCAGTCGACAAGTAGCATCCGATGGGATGAAGCTGATCGTCACTGTAGATAGCCTCTGTCCCATCTTTCTCTCAGAAGCATTCATAACGAATTACTAATAATTGAAAGAACACGACACGGCGTATGCAGCCGAGCCAAGGTTTTTGGTCTCTTTTGCCTGTTCTCTGAGATTTCAAGAACAAATCAAATCCAGAATATGATTCCAGTCATTTCCTTGTGCTCAACCTGTTTTCATTCATTAAATACTAACTTAATATTGCAACAACTCAATTTCTAAGAATGGATAGCTTTCCAGAGTCATTAATTTAAAATGGGGTCGGGGTCGGGGTTGGGGGAAGGTATTTGGTATTCTCTATGATTGACTAATACTAATAGACATGAAATAAATGGACTCATGAGGTGGTTTGATTGAGCTAATCAAACCGTTCCCAATCCTGAGTTACTCTTGTAGAAGATGGAGCAGGGGATGGGGGAGTCAAGCTACCAACTCCCGAGTCGAAGGTCTCCCATTCGGTCTTCACTGCAACTGTGTTGTGCTTGTTACTGATTGGGTTAGATTTTCCTGCCTTCAACGCATCGAGTGTGTCCACGAAGTTCTGGACACGGCGTACCTGTTGTTCAAGATCACCTCTTTAGTACCGATCCTAAAAGAATTCGGGGATTCTCAGATGCATTGATGTAATTTCTATTTTAAGTGATAACATGTTTGAAATAACTTTAAAGCTTAAAACAGACTGCAAGGCAACAATGTGCCTTTATTAGAATCTGACCGAACCGAGTGGAAGCTCAATCATAAATGCAAAGGAGCACTGTTTGATCAGACGAGCCGAACAACCACGCATATTAGCAGCAGCAATGATCGACTAGCAAGATTATTGTTCAACGTACAATTTCACTATTAGAAATTCGTCCTCTAGGTCAGTACTGAACAGCAGCTAACTAAAATATAATGTAAAAGGTCTAGCTGCAACTAGGCATTCCAATGAACAACATAGCCTTTTAATGAAAATTCACCAACTCCTTAGAAAACTCAAGAACACAGTGAAACAGCCCATAGAACAGTAACTAACACGAACATCCTTAAAAACGATATCATACTACTAAACCCAGTAATACCTTGAATTGTAAAAGGAAGGCAAGAACTTTATTCTCATATATTTCCTCCCATATCATTGTAAGAAAGGTTTTTCTCGAATCAAATATAATGAAATGGTTAATCCCATTTATGAAAACTGGTTGGTTGCATATAAATATCTGCATAGTGCTTTTGTTCCTCTAAGAATCAGATGGATTCAAATGCTAATGATATAAGATGGTGTGAGATCCCTCCTCGGTTAGAGAGAAAAACGAAGCATTCTTTATAAGGGTGTGAAAACCTCTCCCTAGCAGACGCGCTTTAAAACTTTGAGGGAAAACCCGAAAGGGAAAGTCCAAAGAGGACAATATTGGCTAGCGGTGGGCTTGGGTCATTATAGATGGATTCAAATGCTAGTGATTACTCAAATACTACACACAACGCAGTAGATTTGTGTATCATCATCAATGTTTAATTACTAACCTCAGCTTTCCTCTGCAACTTTGCGTCTCCTTCAGCATCGATACTGTCCAATTTCAACAATTGTCTCATCAGCAGCTCTGTTAACACAATGAATTCTTTGTCCGCAATATTCGTGCCACCGTTAACTGCTACTTCAATGGCAGCAACCTATATAGATTATATATCGAACATGGACAAAAGATAAACCAGCATCTTATAGAGGTAAATGAAGTACTCTCAGAGACTGCAATGACGACTCACCCTTTCAGAAAGCTTATCGACCTCGGACTGAACCTCAGCTATGGCTTCTGATGCCTTTGAAAACGTGTCACTTTTCTTAACCTCTTCCACCATCTTAACATCTTCCACCACCTTCTGTTTGCTTGTGTGATCCTCCAAGAGTAAGATCTTTGACAAATTCTTCACACCTGCAGTATGCAAATGCTCATCGTCATCCTTTTCCTTACCTCGAAACAGGAGCCTCTGCTCTTCGGGCTGCAAACCGGTCTTCGCTACAAGGTGTTTTTTCATATCACCTGCAACAGATGAAGCACACACAAAATCACCAACATGGAAGCAGCTCCAAACTCCACAATAAGTACACAAGCCAGCATATACCAGATACCATGAATGGAAGGAGTTCAGTTCCCATCAATCCACAGAAACGTAATAAAACAACAATGTCAAACAAAACAAGTTAGTTCCTAAGTTCCCAATACCAAATTCGGACAAACGAAAGAAGACATTCACATACCTAAATGATGAAGCCATAGCCCCCCCAACTCAAATTCATCCATTAAATCCAACCCAAAACAGACCCTCCATGAACTCTAAAAAGAAAAAAGCTAAATCCGATATCAAATCAAATGATCCCACATCTCATCTTCCACTCATATATCGGTTGATTCCAATCCATACAATCAACTCATGAACAGGTGAAGTAAAACCCTAAAGAAAACTCGATATAAGAAATCAGATTCCTCAAACTCAAAGAGCAATACAAAGCCCTAAATTAAGAACAAGACTTATTCAATTCAAGAACAGGGGAAAATCAGCAGAGAAAAGAGTACAAGCGTGGTACCAAAAGTGGATTGGGGAGGAAGGAAAATCTTGTACTTAGTAGGGCCATAGCCGTGAGTAACACTGATGGAGATCATGGCGTCGCTGGAAGAAACATCGGCGCCATTATCAACTTCCCGCTTCTGAACGAACATGCCGCCGGGCCTCATATCCAACTCAGTTTCGTGATTCTTCTCGTCCTGCACAGTGGCCGATCCACTCGGGTACGAATTCTTCCCCGTCATGTTCTATTTCCCACACTAAAATCCTTCAATCGAACACAGAACCAGAAGCCCCACGCAAAGCAATTGTGAGCCGGCTTAAGAGAAGATTTATTGATCGGTAAAGGGATTTCTAGGGTTCGGAAAATCACGATCCAAATTGGTTTCACGAATTTGTAGAAATTTTGAACTGTCCATATCTGTAATTTGTAAACGAATCCTAATCCAAATTACAAATACGATCTCTTCTACTTCTATCCAGATCATCTAGGTCGGTCTAACCTACCACAATAAACTAATCAAAAAAAATTTAAAATTTTAGACAAGAAC